GGCAAGGTGCTGGCGTGCGATCACAGCTACTCTGATAAGAACTACAAACGGTGGAAATCTTAAAAAAATTGTTATATTGCCATACCAAAATTTCCTGCTCACAGTATCAAGTCATTTATAGTCACTTCCACAACCAGTAAGAAGATCTTAGTGATGAAAAGCAACGTAAAATGCTGCTATATTTGTCATCTTTTCCTGGGTAGATGTAATCGAAGCCTCTTCACACCAGGATTTGCTGAGTGCACTGCAAATTATCCGTTTCTAGAGTTTTTGAAGCGTTACGGATGGGAGATGAGGGCTCCAGTTCAACGGGGAGCATGTCTCGTGCAGGACTCGTGGACCACAGCGCAGCAAATCCACATGCTCACAGGCTGCCTACACCAGCCTCTGGGCTGGCAAGTTATGAACCAGCGCTTCCCCTCCCTCTCCAAGGCATATAATTAAAAAAAAAAAAAAAAAAAAAACGGAATAATTTGCAATTTGTAAGCACAGTCTCTTCCCCCTTGGGCTTGCAGAACCAGCCACAGCCCCTCACCCAGAGAGACTATTTCCTCAAATATGGGGAGGAAAGCTACAAAACGTTAATGCTGAGCACCAAGCAGTGTAATTTTCAGATTTCCCACTGGTTGTATAATGGCAAATAATAAGTCTAAATATAATACGTTACATTTCCTTCCATTGGCAATAACCCTACTTTGCTTTCAAGGCATGCCATGAAGCAGAGCCCCTTCCAGACTGCTGGGGTGCAGCGAACTGCCATTACCCACCCTGTGTATTAAACATCTTTTCAACAGGCAGCTGTCTTTATAGGCAAAAAATTTAGTTTTTAAGGCCGGAGATGGCAGGGTGTTGGGAAATTCAGTGCAGTCGTTCACCTTATTTCACAAGCAGGTGTGAACAAGCTGCAAAGTCAACAAAGAAATCCCCAGTGATGACGCTGCAGCTGGGTTATGGGGTAGTGTGCTTAATTCCCCCCTGTAGCATGAATGTTGTATTAAATTTGAAAGCACCTGAACTAGGTGTCTTAAAAATACTGTACGCATCGCAGTAACTCTGTTTTTCTACATCTGTCTGAGGTGCATAAAGCAATCACTGTGATGTCCTACTCCACCGGATGGTGAAATGTGGAATTTGGGGGTGCACAAGCCATTAAGCGGGTGTTGCCATCATCTCCAGTGTCCCACGCTCGGCTGGGTTGACCCAGGGACTGGGGTGACACCCAGGTAGGTGCTTCACCGGGAAAGATGCTGCGCTGCTGCCTCCTATTTATCCAAAGCCAACCAGGTCCAGTAACAATTAGTCCTGGGAAGGACCTTTGTAGGCCATTAAGGTGATTTTGAAAGGCTGCAGAGATACCATGTCCAACGAAATGGTACTTTTTCCAACCACCTAAAGGCCTTTAAACTCAAACATTTTTTCAACTATCAAATGCTGATACTAGCAGGATCAATTTAACATGTTGTGGTTTAGCATCCATCCCCGCCTCCCTCCCCCAAATGTTACTTTGATCAAATTTCTGCATCTCGTTCTACCTCAATATCCCAATCAATATGTTTTTATTATTAATAAAAAATGCATTAAGTTGTTCTAGTGACTATGTGCCAAACCACTGATTTCAGTGAGACCTGGATCAGCCCTACCACCTTGCCAGAAGTTAGATTTCTAGAATGAAACCATCTGAGGTAAATAATTAATATCATTTTCCTTATAAATGAACATAATTCAGTAAGAGAAAATTATTTTTAAAGTCTGTTTTAAAAAAAATGTAAAAACCTCCCAAATGAAGATGATGTTTTTTCTACACAGACAGATGAAGAAGTCTCACTGTGGGCCATGGGGAGAGGTTGACACCAAAGGCTGAACCACCTCTAGCATCAAGGATCCCTTTCCCAGCTGGATTTAGAACCCAGATGGGATCTTGGGCTCTCCACCCTCAACACAGACAGCACTACGCTCAGAGCATGTAGGTAACTTATTTCTCAACCTTTTTTGCAAGCTCATGCAGATCTCAGCAGAAGGAAGATTTACTCTCACTCCCTTTGATCAATGTTCATCAGCTACACGTAAAACTCAGGAGCATATCTGCTGTTACAAAACACTTCATGTCTTATTTCCTCCCTCCTCTTCTTTCCCGTAACATAAAAAGCTTCTTTCTCAGTTTATCGAGTCCCTCTGCTGGTACCAGCTAAAAAAGGAACCAAACTTAGAGGAACTCTTCTAGGAAAGCAGAAGAATGTTTAAAATAAGTTATTCAAAGCTATAAAAAAATCTTCATTTACATACCCAGAACTTGTGAAAACACCCTCCCGGTGCCTACAGGACCAGACCAGCGTCCTTTATATCTTATCTCAGATGAAATACTCTCAGGCAAATATATTTTAATGCAAAGGAATTTTGTTCTCTAGTACTTAACAAATGGTTAATGGAAAGATAAACTCATTGTGAAAATAGACAATTTATGCTCCAAATTTTTCTGTCCTTACTGGTACACATGTTCCCATTAATTTAATTCAAGTCTTACTAGCAGTCAGATTTATAAAGTAATTTAGTATCCAGATTTAGATAGAGAGAGTGGACCATCATAAGCAAAGACACATGGGTCTGCCAAGAAAGAGACAACTGTAACGTGATTACAAATACTAAACCACTCTCTGCTGAAAATACAGGAATTTCACGTAACTCCAGCACTAAATGTACCCTTAGTCACCGACATGCCAAAAAGAAACCATTTTTTAAAATGACAGCCATATAGTTAATCTGTCCTTTAATATAGACCAGGCAGCTTGCAGCTTTTCTCCTCAGCTTAGAGGAAATTAAATGAGCATTTCTTCCCTTGACTGTCCGTACAGAATAAATTTACATTAAAATATGCACTAAGACATCAACCCTGTGCCCGGATGGGATACCTGAAGAGGACCTGGCCTGCTGCTTCGATTTGATACACTCTTCCCCTTGCTCTTCTTTATTCAAAATAGACCAGTTCTTTTAATTTGGGAATTAGATCCTAAGCCGTACTTGGGATGTAGTTATGTGATGGGACTGACCCAGTGGATCACCTCACTACTGCTAAAGGAGGGGGGTCCCCGCAGCTCCCCATTTCTGGTCAAGCACTTCTGCACCCTCCTTCCTTCAGCCCTTGCACAAGTCGTGCAGCAAGACAGCCTCACCCCGTAATTCACCCAAAAACTAGCCCAGCAGGCAGTTTTCTTCCGGGCTAACAAAAGCCAGTGGTTGTTTAACCAGGCAAGCGCCGGACCGCGGGGGCACCGGGACCGCCGGGCACGGTGCGGCGAGTCTGAGCCCTCGATTCATCTCCCCCATCCTCCCACACCCTCCCGTCATTTGGATGGGAACTGAAGAGGGACCCGAGTTCACAGCAATTAACCAACCGCGCGAATGCAAAAATGTATTTACCGCTGGGATGGATAACCCAGTGCTGGAGCAGCACGATCCAGCGCCGCGGGGAGATGAGCTGCAGCGGCGGGTGCGCGCCTTGCGGGTTGCATAGGCTTTTGGATTGCCCCTTGTTTTTATTTCCATTCCTCAGATTTTGTCGTTCACAGGTGGCACTCAGCGGATTTCCACAAATCCTCTAAATTGTGTTCTAAACTTCGTATCGCAGCCGTGAATGGCTTAGAAATGGGAATGTTTGGTTGTTTCAGTGTGGAAGCAGACGTAACAGAGCGGGTCAGGACAACGAAGTTATTCTTTCAGTGCATGAAACATAGACTAGCTGGAGACTGCTCAGATTTGACTACATAAAGCAGGGTGCGATATCAAGATCTCTGCATCTGCCATTAATTTTTATCTTACAAACAAAATCCAGTTTATGGGGAGAAAGAATGTGCCCCTGCATGAGCTGTAGACTCAAAGCTTAAAGATGCTTTATATCATTTTTAAGAGAGAAGTCGTAGAGATCTGTGAGTTTCTGCTCCAGAAGTCACTTGCTTCAAGTTTGCAACTCTTCCCAGTATCTGTTTTTTAAAGAAATCACAGACTTCCTCTACATTCCGCAGAATCACAGAATGGTTTGAGTTGGAAGGGATCTTAAAGATCACCTAGTTCCAAGATGATAGTTTGAAGCATGGACTATTAAAGTTGGTGTAATTCAGTTCAGAGTTACTGTAACTGCAGGTGAGACAGTCTGTTTGAACGGTGGGGATAAAACATCAAATTCAATTTGATCCTGTTAGTCAAACGCTAGGAAATCACACACCTTTCCTTCTTCTTGGAAGACTAGTCCTTAATTACAGCCAAGTACACTCTTAGTAAAGAAAACGGGAAAAGTATAAAAAAAAATATCTGCAGCATTTAACTTCCTCACCTCACCAGCCTGGTCTGGGTGAGGATTACCACTGCACCCAAGCCACCCTGGAGCAGTGAATCATTTACAGGGGGAGACATCTTTAAAGAGTGGGAGTGTTTTCGTTTTTAGGAGCTTTTATTCTCCATTTAAAGCAGGAAGGCAAAATGTATATTAAAACCAATTAAATTTCCCTCTGTATTACCATCAACTCAACAAAAGTACAAGCACAAACTCTCGCAGCTGTACTTAAACCTGCCAGAGTTTTCACTGTCTACTAGAAAGCTACGAAGTGCTTCAGCTTTCAAGAATCCATGCTAAGGGATGACCAGAAAATTGACCAGAAAATTTGGGAAGCTCCAACTTCTAGTCTGTTTTGAGGTGGAACGAAGAGGAGATAAAGTCAGTCCACATGTCCCTTAATGGAAAGAATAAAGTCGTTGCAGAAACAGACTGAGCTATACAGAGGTGAAATTCCTCCTGTAATAGTATCTCTACAAACACAAATACGCTTTTATCAGTCTAATTTCGCTTTGAAAATGCACTTGGAGGAACACTTTAGGACAGACTACTTGTCATCTGCCTATAGACTTCCTGAGCTTACTTCCAAAACTTTGCTGATTCAAGGAACAGGTATGCAAACTTAGGGCTCACACATGAGAGCTTTAAACGAATCAAATTGTTAAGAGTCATTCACTTTTGACAGGAAGCCTAAACTGTATTTATTTATGAGAAAACTTCACATGCAAAGGGAGAACTATAAGAGCTCAACTTCAGCATAGCAACAGCCCCAGTTACAAACACTTGGCAGAGCTATAAATACTTTATTAGTTTCAGTGTAATAGTCCTCTCGCATAGAAACTGGATAACAGTTACAAAAGACTGTATACAAGTTCGAAGCAGATGTTGCTCAAAAGCTTCTAACAGGCAAGATATCTTAAATTCTGGTGCAGAGCACAAACATTCCCAAGGGCTGTATTAAACCAAACGATCCAGTGCCCTGCTTCAGGAATCCGTGGTCCAGGGAAAACCCCTGGGCTGTGGGGGCTTGTGCCAGTCTACACATTCGGTTTCTGGGGAGGGTCAATGTCCAAAACCACCTCTTACTAATTTATTCCAAGTTGCAGATGTCGGGAGTATCCTTTTTTCTTGCTTTACAAAAGCAATGCTAACTGTACCTGGTACTCTCTCCAGCTTGCAATGGAGCGGAGAACTAATCTGGATACCAGAATCCCTACCATTATTTTTAAGGGCTATCCAACACCATCCTACTTTATGTCTTCATACAGAGCTTGCTAACACTACTATTTTTACTTTTTCATTGGAATTTCTATTGTCATAAAATCCTCAGCTAGTGTTACTTCTTGACCATCCAACACTGACTCTGCCTGTCTCTTCAGTTCAGTGATGTCCATGTCTCCCTCACCTCTCTGAGAAGCTGGTTTATACCGCTGACTGAAGTGAGTCAAAACCAGTTTCTTAACTTTACATAATTTTGCAAAATCTGCTGCCATTTTTGGAGTGCTATGACCATGCTCTCTGGCCTTTTCCTCTTGGGTGTCATCCAGCGTGGCTTCATGTATCAGTACATCTGCTTCACAGCAAAGCTTCACAGCTGCATCTCCGACCACCCCTGAACAATCTCCCAAAATGCAAATTTTTCTTCCAGGAATAGGATCTTCTAAGACATCAGAAGGAGAAATCTTTACTCCATTTTCTAGAACAACTGCAGTTCCATTCTTCAGTTTCCCATATAGAGGACCTGGTTGAACTCCTGGTAAATAAAGACAAAAGAGCCTATAAGTATTATGAGGAGTGTCAGCTTTAAAAAAAAAAAAAAGAAAAATAAATCACTTGAGATACGCTATATATAGAGCTGTCTCACTGAAAAAATACAACCTCAAAATAAAGAGTAATTGATATTTCACATACTTGATACAAATAAAGAGCTTGTAACATTAGCAGAAACTGTGTTCAATGAAAAACTATATTCTTCATATTAAAGTCAATAAGTCACGCAAACACACTGGCCATACATTTCCCGGAAAGCCATGTTGCGCCTTTTCAACTTCAACATCTGAACTTGTTTCCTCTTTCCAGTATGAGAGTGGTCTGCAAAATTAATTGGCACTAGTGTTACACACCAATTCAGACTGCTGCATTGGCTTGAGGTGTTAAAATGTCTTTAATAGAAAGTGGAAAATTGAATTAAAATGGATTATGGAGAGATACAGCAGCTCTACTTTGCTAGAACCCCTAGAAAGGCAATCATAAAAGGATTTCAGCTGCCTGCAAATCCAATTTTGTTACATTTGCTGAAAATCAGGGTTGCCACTCATCTTGAACACATGCATTTAGGCATTTAAAAAGAGGGAAGATAAGTCAAAGTCGTTACCAAGGTCTTTCAGCTTCTGTACATTGAGTTTACCGGTCCGGGGCTTCTCTTCCACCACAAAGCCAAAGGAAGGAATGCTGTGAAATAGGCGAAATGCTTTCAGAACCAGCTGCTCATCCTCTACCAGCAAGTAAGAGTTTTCTACTGGATCCAGGTGGAGTATTCTCCCTTGTGCTCCCTGGGGAGATACCTCACCTCTGTCCAAGTGAGAAAACTCCTTAAATTCTTCTGCGGGGCACTGGTCCCGTGTAGGTACCAGTTCATGAACAGTGTAGGGAAAGAGAAGTTTTGAATGGGAGAGCTCCATACTCCTCCATATGAAGTTTCGCAGTCCTAATGGTCCATAAATATCAACAGGTGGTTTGTTTGGGTCAGGGCTACTTTGGAGGCTAAGTGTACACAGCAGGCCAGGAAGTCCAAAAAAGTGGTCGCCGTGAAGATGAGTTATGAAGATCTTGGTAATTCTGCCTATCAATGAGAACAACAGGGAACGAAAAACAAACCAGAAAAAGACAGGAAAATAAATGAACATCGTAACAACTCAGAGATAATCACTTTTTGGCATGAAGTAGGAAATAAGGAAGGAGGGAAACTGAAGTAAAACCAGTGTTTAAGAAATAAATCCCAAACACAAAGTATGTTTTTTCCACAGTAGCAGTAGGTTTCCACACAAGGTTTATTTTGGCTCGATTTGTGAAGAAAAAACTGCCGAGACAGAAGCTTTAGTTGCTTCTAAGCAAAACGTGCTACAAGCATGGAACAGGATCGACTGGTGACATCTGCCATATTAAAATGCAAAGTGCTAGAAAGTGGTTGCACTTTCATGCATTACGTGAAAACTGTAGACTCATGAGAAAGGGGAATTTGTATCGTTCCTAGTTTTGAATTTAGCACATGAAATGATCATAATTAAAAAAAGAAAAAGCATCCAGGTTTGATTTCAAAGTTCTTTAAAAAGCAAGAACCCCATGGTTTCTGATTAGTTTGTTTTGAACAGATGAAAAATTGCACTTAAAGATTTGGGCTTTGTTTCGTGTCTGAGTTTGTCTCACTTCAGCTCTCATGCACTGGCCCTGCCCTTGCTAGATGAAAAAAGCTCAAAATCTTCTCTTACTACAGACATGTGTACTTTAATAAGGCTGCCTCAGACTCTTCTGCTAGCTGAGCTCCCAGTTCCTCAGGATAAGGCATTTTCTGCAGCATGTGATAGGAAAGATAGATTCTCTTTGTTCTAAGAACAATTTAGTAAAAATCAGTAAATTTAGTAAAAATTAGTATATTCACTTAGTCATTAAATCACCTGATAGCTTCAGATTTTGGGGGAGCAGGAGGTTGGTTTTCTGTTTATAATTGATAATTTCATCTTTATAACTTGAGAGCCTGAAGTGGCTCTTGCCACTGTATACTGCAAACTCACAGTGACTGAAGTAAAGTCTGGTTTCTACTTTATTTGCCAAAATGTAAAAGTTATCATGAGTACATGCAGTTTTACTTGAAAACAAAAGCACGATATTCATTGACAGGAAGACTCCCAGCAGGTATTGCCTATAGCTGTCTTCAGATAAATACAAACTGTGCCCGCTTAAAGCTGGTCTCTGGTCCACGTTTGAAATTGCAAAGCCCAAGAAATAAATTGAGGAGAGTTTGGTTCTCGAACGCAATCCTTCACCAAAGGTCAATCAAGGATTACTGCACAGCAGGTTCAGCAGCTGCCACCCATACACAGATGCTCATGCATGTTTAGCGTGTATTCAAATACAACGAGCACGAGGACAAAGTACTTTGTTTAGATCTCATGAAACCTTTCCCCCTCCCTCCTCACAGTGCCTTTCAACAGCACAGACCTGCTTTGAGATGGCTCTTCATGAATTGTGTTTGAGTTCCCTCTCCGCAGTCGAAGAGCCAGCACGCTCCTTCCCTGCGAAGCACTAACGCCGATGCTCCTCTCGTTGGAGAGGGATACGCTGAGCCTGTGCCAAGGAAAGTTACATCCATCGACATTTTGGATGTGTTGGTATGCCACCTGGAGAGAGATTTGGAGCCACTCAACATACGTATTTATGCTGGGAAAGAAACATTTTCGGTTTAAATGAAGGCATCCTCTGTACTTTAGGGTGAGGATCAAACTCCCCTTCCCTTAAAATATAAAATCTCCCTGGAGTGGGATATGACTTTCAGACAACACAGTATTTACAAGCAGCAGATTTCCTGTTTATGTCAGTGCAAGGTTGTAAACACGCAGCCCAAACATAAGACACAACCTTTGCTTGTTACCTAAAGACATAGCCCTACCCAGCTGAAAATGCTCTAATCTCTAAAGCCACATATTCTTTCCTCTTCGCTTTACTTAAACGTTCCTTATTTATTTATTTATTTTAAATCTTCCTGCATGTGCTTTCATCTAAAAGCCTCTTCAGAATGGCATACACCAGGGACTGATGACATTTAAACGCCGTTCCTGGACGTCAGGAGCGGGCAGCCTGGCACCGCAGCGGGGACAGATTCGGTCCCCTCCACTGCACCCCAGAGATTGCCAGAGGCAGGAGCGACCCGATTTACTTCACCTTCTCATCGGCACCCTTGGAAACTCATCGGTGTTAAAAATGAAACGCCACCAGGCCTCGACGTAGCCTGAAGGTTGCGTGACGGATCACGGGGCGCCTGTTGTGGCAGAAGGATCTACACAACCAGGTTCCATACCCCAGTTGTTTATGTACCCGCTGTGTTACCCTGACAAGGACCGTGGCAGGTTTTCAGGGGCAGGACAATTTTCTGAAAGCCGCCTTGGGAGCAGAACATCCATGCGTGTGGCTCTGATGCCGTTTTACCTTACAGGGCGTGCCTTCTCCAGCCTCAGCCTTCCCGGACGTGGTTCCTACCCCGTCTTCAGGTGTATTTCCACCTCACTTTAAACTTCATGTGGCTCAACAGCTCCAGGCACCTTTCAAGAACAAAAGTCACCATCTCTCAGGTTTAAGCTGCTTTTAGAGGAGCCGCCCACAACTTCCTGCAGCCTCCTCCGCTGCCGTACCCACAGGCACACCCGGGCGCCTGTCGTTCCCTGACCTAGGAGCTCTGTGTGTGTGTGGTGGGTGGTGTTGGGGGGCGGGGGGCAGGATGAAATGCCCATCGCACCCTCAAAAGGCGAGGAACAAAAACGTTTATCTTCCTTCCCCCCCCCCCCCCCCCCCCCCGCCTCGGCCTGCGACAGCAGATCAACAAACCTCCCAGCCCAGCCGGCCTCGGGCCTTCCACCCGGAGTTTGTGTCCGTGGGCTGCGACCAGCCCTAAAGCGGAGATTTACCGAGGGTCCAACCCCGCCGCTATCCATACACCGCCTCGCCGACCTCCCGCGCTCCCCGCCGGGCGGAGGCGGGTGGGGGGACGGCGGCTTCTCCCCCTCAGGGAAGGCGGGGATCGCAGCGGCCCGGCCCGCGCTCCCCGCGCTCCCCAGGCCCGGCTTACCTCCCCCCGCCGCGGGCCGCCGCAGAGGCCGCGGGCCGGGCCCCGCTCCGCCGGGCAGGCCCCGCCGGGCAGGCCCCGCCGTGCTCCGTGTTCTGTGGAAACACCGAAGTCACACACACACACGGCCCCGCCGTGCTCCGTGTTCTGTGGAAACACCGAAGTCACACACACACACACGGCCCCGCCGTGCTCCGTGTTCTGTGGAAACAGCGAAGTCACACACACACACACACCCACACCCCCCTCCTCCTCCCAGTCCCTTCACCAAGAGCCGCCTTAAACGTGCTGCCAGGCAGCCAGCCGCTCTGGGAAAGCCAACTGTGGGATAAAAACCTTTTAATCGCTTCACCCCCAGCCTAAGCACCCGCTTGTGTTTGCTGATCGTTGGCAAGGGACAAGAGGAAAGAAGGGTGAATTCGGTTTAGGCAACTGTGTGGCAGTTCCCCCTCGGTCAGGTGTCACTGTTTCGGAATAAACAAAATCGAATGTAATTTAGGCAAAGGGAATGCATTTTACTAAGAAAATAGAAGACCAGAACACACATTTCAATAGAGTTACAACATTGTAAAGGAGGGAAAAACCCCAACCAGTTCACATTTAAATACAATTTTAGTTTCAGCTGAGCAGTGACCCTCCCAGGTAAAGTCAACCCCAGACAGATCAGGCTAGAACTGTTCTCACAAGCACTCCAGTAGACGTATGTTTATTTGCGTAAGGTAGATTTGTTTAGGATAGAAATAAATGTAAATTATTTTGACATTTTATTTCTTGACAAACTGGCCATCTTATTACGTTTGCGTAGTCCTAGGGGTATTTTTATTTCCATTTTCATTACACAGGAACTACCTAGAGGATAAGTCAAAGGTACTCGGAGAGTTCAGTTCAATCCAGCGCCAGCTCGGTGTTTGGGGAATGCAAACGCACACCGCAGGGGTCCCGCACCCCGAGCAAAACAAGAGAGCTTTTTACACGAGCTGTAGCCATGGTCCACTGTGCCACCAGGAACAGGATTCCCCACGCACGATGTAGCTGTTCACACATCTCCCTCCGGAGCCGGCACCAGTAAGCTGCATCCTCAGCGAGTGCTGCAATTCGGGGAGGGACGGTAGCAAGCAGAGGTCTGAAGCGTGCTGGATTTCCCTCGCGGTTCACCCAAAACATCTGCAGGCTTTCAGATACCATGGTGATGTGTATTTCAGGAGTGGGTAGGTAGGTCAAGGTAGATTCGTCCAGAATTAGATGTCCCTTCACCAGCAGCAGCTGAATTACATTGCTCAAATTCAGCTGTCAAGTGGGTGCAATTAGAGCTTTGCTCTAGATTTTATCCTTGCTCCAGCGTTCAATGTAACAACAGTTCCTGCTTATTACATACAGCTGTTATGAAACGGGACAGCAGTACATGTCACCTTAAAGACAGTCCAAAATTAACAGTGGTTTTCTTAAACTCGGGAATAGTGCTTACAGCTGAGACAGAACTGGAGTCCAAACTGTCCTGTTCTTACAGTCCGACCCGAAAGTCTCGTAGATACTTTTATCTGAATGACAGAGGTGCTCAAATCTGCACCTCTGACATCAAGAAGACCCGGAGCAAATGAAAGACAACAACTTGGATTCACTTAGGCCCAGAGTCAGCTGAACTAAAATTCACAGTTGTAGCTGTATAATAGTGATCCCCACTCTCCTACAGGAATAGTCAGCAAATAGGGCTGCTAATGAAAAACTAAAAGGCGTATCATTGATCTTTGCAATTACTACCAGAGGAGTGTGACAAAGGGTTACTTTACCCCCTCCCACAAAACAGCGTGCTGGAAACAACAGTACAGAGAAGACATGCACCTACCACTGGAAATCTGTTAAAACACCATCTGCATGTAAAGTGTTGCTTTGTTTTAAGCTTGGAAAACAAACACAACATCATGAAACGTCACTGTTCACAAACATAACCAAGAACTTATGCAAGGAGTCACATTCGGTTTTTAAAATCTATCAGACACAACATTTTAATAGTCTTCCTCTACACATCAATTGTTGGCATGTGGGCATAGGCTTCAGGAATAGACAAACCTTTGCAAAATCTTTGAACAAGAACATCCGTATTTAATAAAAAAAGGCTGTGCTCCCTTAGCTACCCTCTCGTCTCCCCTAGCCATTTCCATACATTGCTGCCAAGAGGCTCAGCCCTGCTCCTGTTGATTTTAAGGAAGCAAGTCTTAGACCAGTCCTGGAAAAGACTGAGCTACTGACCTCAGTGGGAGTTTCCTCTCAGAAGCGTTCTGTACATCCAGAATAGCATCCTCACAAAAGAGACATGAAAGACAGAATTCCATACCATTCGGAGGACAAAAGTCACCAGGGCTGCGTGAAGAGCTAGAACACTAGTCATCCTTTAGGTGATATATGATTTTAAAGAATGGTGTAAGCTTAACTTATGCTATGCAGCGTTACAAAATGCATCCTGGTGACAACCTTTTCCCTAAGAGAATTTTCTGTATAGATTAAGATCAGTAAATGCTTTTGAATAAGCCAGCAAATAGAAAAAATCAGGTTAATATGAAAAAGGATACTGTGGTTCCTTACTAAGTGGCAAGATTAACAGTTATAATTAATTAAAAGATTAATTAGATCTGAAGAATATGCAAAACTGAAGATGAATCTATATATTTAAAAAAAAATCTGAAAAAGATGAAAGGGAGAACTTAAAACTTTGTGAGTTGACATGTTAACTGTTGCTAATGGAAAACAATGGCTATACATTAAAGGTAAAATTCTACCACGTCTATATTGCAAGCTGTAGATGATCCATGGAACCTGATTAAACAATGTCCACAGGTGTGTATGCATAGGTGAATTCTTGCAGGTAGAACTTAGCTACCATGACTGGGACAGGTTAGAGACACAGTCAGGCCTTCTCTACGCTACAGCTCCGACCCGTCTGCAGCCCTGTCAGGGCAGGGCTGTACGGGAACTGCAGCCTCCCAGTCAGTTAAAGACGGCTTTTTCTTCACCTGTGCAGCGGGATTTCAAGAAAAATTGTGCATGACCATTTGTACTTGGGAAAATCTCACCGCTGGCCAGTTTCGAACAATCCCTCTCGGCATCTGCCTAAGGACAGCGGGGAGCCTGTGCCGGGAAGGGAAACGCCTGCACCTCACGGAACAGGCACCTTCCCTCGCCCTGTGCTTCTGGCGCGGGAGCTCCCCTTGGGAACCAAAATCACTCTTACCCAAAGCAAAATTATTTTCCCAAGCGCCAGGTTTTCCTGAGTACTATCAATGCCCATGGATTATGGACCGTGACTGGACTCCTTACCTGAAAAAAAATAATCAGACTGAACAGACGAATGTAGATCTTTATTTTGTAAGGCAGAGTTGTATTTATGGACTGATTGCCCTGCCTTTGTGATCACTCTAAGCTGGGACACAAGATCAGTGCATGGGGTATTTTTGTTACTTGTCTGCCTAATTAGTATGTTGGCAGCAGTGAGGAAGTGTGCGTTCCCAATATACTTGAATCCAATGATGCAGAACTCCACTGACACACTGCAACAGGGTTCAGCTAGAGTTGAATTTTCAGAAGGTAAAAATAATGTGTACACTAAATAAATAATTTTTCAGTAAGATCACAAATTTAAATACAATAAAAACCAGGTATAGCAAAAATATATGAAAAAAGCATTCTTTTTAAAAACACCATATGTGTGTGTTGGTCTTTTGTGTACATATACTTACATATACAAGTTGCAAACCATGTACATCACCCAGTTCGGCAATGTAGCATTTTGAGCCCCAACAGACAGCACTTTACCACAGTTTGAATACACAGTCTTTTCCCCACATCACTGTTTTCTGTGTTTATATAGTCAGTCTTCTCTCCCCACTTAGGTAAAGCCTTCCCAAACTTTACTGTTCTTTTTACCTAATACATGAACACAATTTTAAATTCAGAGACTAGGCAGTGAGTGACAGAGACCATGTCTAGTGGGGTACAGAGACTATTTTCCTTCTTCTATTTTGTGCTATTCTGTGGAGACTGCATTTTCCAATATAAATGAGGATATGAGAGGAGTGCTTGCCATGGGTAAAACCTGAGCAAGCTTTACTTCATCTCTTTAAAATCTGGCTTCAAGTTTGCCAGTATAGCCCTTTTACATCTATCTATTTATTTATTTATGTCCTCTTTTGCCTTGATGCAGCAAACTATGGAAAAGCACATTATCTTTATTTCTGTTCCTGACATACCACTGTTCTTGTTACAAAGACTAGATTTAGAGAAGCCACAGACCGTAACTATCTCTGCGCATCCCCGCCTGCTAACACAGAGTAATGGAGGGCAGTCAAACCTGACACTAACAAAATGTAAAGGAATGCACATTGTAGTGTCTGTATCAAATGTGCAGTACTATTCATTGCAAGGAAAAATTCAACTTACAATTTTCGTTTTCACACAGAAACCCTCACAAATTAAACCTGTAAACGGAATGAGGAAGATGAAGTGATCAACTCAGAGCTTCTAAGCATTACATCTTTCGAGTCCTGAATTCAAAGTGAAGTGAATATACTGGACTGAGAGCACAAGAAATAGTCAAACTTGTGTAAATGTGTGTGTCAATAGCTGCCTGTAACACTTTCTGTTTCAGCTTCATCAGCTGCCTGTGGGGGGGTTTGTTCAAGTGAGTCCACTTGGGAGTTTTTGAGTCAGTGATGTCATAAAAACATCACTCAAGTCTTTCTGTGAGAACAAGGGCATGCAAGGGAGAAAACAACCTAGCTTAGAAGAAACAGAACCTTGAAAAAATTAAAAAATTTAACAAAAAATCCTTTGGTACACCACCTTGGAGTCCACTGCAGAAAATCACCTTGTAAAATCTCTAAAAGATTTCTGTGAATTACTTCAGATCCTATCTTTATATGATAGAATTTACTATGCAACAGTGTAGCTTTGTTTTTAAAAGCTGTTAAGTGATTAATATTATTTTCAGGCTTTCCAAGGATAACTAACTCATTCACATTTTTCCTGATAGCACATTTCACACAACAATACAAGCACTGCTGTAGATGGGCACACCACGCTGCTCCTCAAAGCACATTCAAAGAAACAGAGCAGCCAATGCCACAAGGAAGTCTGGACACGGGCATCTTTAAACATCAGACAAAACAGAAAGCCCATTAGGCTGTTAAATTTGTCTCAAGCTGTCCTTTTTTTTTGACAAATGCTCTCTGGTGATGTCACAGATAATGCGGTGTGACAACACTGGGACAATTAGAAGACGGATTATTAAAAGCAGAAATAAATCATACAGGAAATCAGCAGTGATGAGAGAGCTATAGTTCATCATCAAATGCACATCGCTAAAACATCATTAATGGAATTCTTTAGTATGGTGCTGGCTCTAAGATAGAAATGCAATGTCATTATTTAAATTAATTTTGGAGAGCTCTCTCATTCCTGCCATGGATGCCATCATCCATACAATTTATCAGGTACTTGGAAGAGTGTGGAGAAATCTGTGTCAAGTGGAAAACAGGGTAGATGGGAAAAAAGACAACAAAATGAGTGAAAATAAATTACAAGACTCAAAGATCGTGATTTAAATAGGTCTGAAAAAGGGATCCCTGCAGAGTAGAAGATACTGCCTGAGGAGTGCGATCTTCTGATACATCAGTGAACCTTAGATTCAGGCCAGTCATACACATCTGGCATGAAGGATTCGTATTCGTAGGTCCAAACCTTCGATCGAATGTAACGGTTCTTGTCTGCAGGTTCAGGGTAATGGAAAGCCATGTTGTTTGCATACAAAAATTCCATAACCTGAAAAGTTAAATCACCATGCAGTTTGTGCCTTTTACTACACTCACGTAACATCCAAGTTCCCACTGCAATATGTTTAGGACTCACACACTGGATAAAGACAAACACCAAAGTCTTTTTACAATTCCTGAATGCCTTACCAGGGATCTGCAAACTTAATTTCAGAAATCAAAGGAGCATAATTTTGGCCCATCATCACTGCCAAACTGAAGCATCCCACAAATGCAAGATTTTTATAAGTGTCTCTTATTAAAGGCAGAAAGAACTGGGTATTTTGTGTCCAAGCACCTGGTGCTTAAGGGTCATACTGTGCAATTCAGCAGGTTAATATACACATAAAGCATTCCTAGTACAGTCCACTCTTATGCTTCATACTCACCTTGACAGCAATATAAATTGAAACTTCCCTGATATTAGACAGCGGAGGATAAAGTCTTCCTTGTGCAAGCTCTTCATCGGTCAACTGTTCTGTCAATGCCTGAGTTAGAAAAACAAATAAATTCTATTTACTGCATCCCAAATGGGATCAATAACATGCTAAAACACCCGAGAGAAAAAGGTTGCAGTGTTCTTACTACTACAGTGCTTCCAAGGCACTAGAAAAAGGCAGTCAAAAATCTCAAAATTCTTGAAAATCAACTCTCCAGTCTGTACCCATAGCAGAAAATACTACTTGTAAGCATTTAGAAAAGTAAGATCCTATTTTTTTTGGAGGCTGAGCTACCCATAACCATGGAAGCTATAAGAGCACAATGTGCCTGCAGGACTGCCCATGTGTTTGGCCAGTTGATTCACTGGCTACTCCGCTGTGGTAGGTGCTCCTGCTCCAGAGCAGAAAGGCAGGAGAGGACGGGAGCCAGGGGGCCACGCACACCCCTGACTGCACACCAGCTGTGGAACCCAGAGCAGGGCGAGGAGGAGGAGGCAGGCCTTCTGCCAGGCCTGTGAAGCAAGTTACACAGGGGCAGATTTCCTGTCTGGGTGTTTGGGTTCTGGAAGAAAAATTTAAAATTGCGATGGAAGTTGATACTCTTCACAATTTTGTTTGATCAAAATCCGTTTTGTTTTGTTTTGTTTTGTTTTTCCACTGGGGAGGGATAAAACCAATACAAATCAAACAGGTAACCATAGAGTTTCAGAGAGATTTGAGAAATTGCCCATCATGTCATCCACCATCGTGTCAGAAGCCACAGCCTACTCTGCTTCCACACTTACCTTAGCAGCCTCTAGGAAAACCTTATCACTAATATGTCGAACACTGCTGAGGATCACAGCGAGAGCCACGCCTACAATAAAATTATTGCCAATTAGGGCCACATCATTTTAAAATATGCAGCCTGCTGCTGAGAAGCTGCAAGTCATCTAGAGTGTTATTTTTAAAAATCTTCCCATAGCTTTCTACACACATTTGCAAAACTATTACCATGTGTGCTAGTCATTTACCATAATAGGTGGCTTTTGACAAGGGGTTGGAGCTGAGCAGCTCAGGAGGAAAGGGAGAGAAAGGGGAAAGCAGAGAAATACCCCTAGTACTTCTCTGTACCCTCACTTGTGCAGGCATAACTTCAAGAAGAGCATATTGACACTTATTTTCTCCCTCCCCCCGAAAATAAGCAGAAGAACCCATAATGCAGCAGCTTTCAAGGCCTTGACTAACACCCTTTTGTTTTCTTAGAAACATCCCGTTGGGTGAGCCAGCTGCGTGCACATCGCATGTGGCTGCACATGTCTAACATCCATACTTAACTGATTTTCTTTCATTCATTCTTTTGATCGAGTTCTCAGCTTTAAATGCTGATAACACCTCCTCATGCTGCTTCACTACCTGTGCCTACTGTAGCAAGGGAACCCAAGAAGAGGTGCTAATAGCCTAGTCTTAAAGATTACAAGACGACAATTTTATTTATTACCTGGAAAAATATAAGCATTGTTCCCCTGGCCTGGTTTGAAGGTTCTTCCATCTTTCAGAGTCACCAGCTCGAAGGGACTGCCACTGGCAAACAAGCAACGGCCCTGTTAAACAGAGGAATAATCAGCCAGGCAGCTTCTAAGGAGCCAACAGTATGGAGCAATACAGTCATGATGAAATACAGGGACACCAGAGTCCTATGGCTCCCAGTCAGCTCTATGACTGCGTCAGGAAGGTACTCGAGCACACAGCCAAATGCAAAAAGGCAAATGGCCCTACTGATTGCAACTGGATTCTAGCACATACTTAAATCCCTTGCTGACTCAATTTCTACAATCCCCAAATGAAAACAACCAAACCCACCCTTTCCAGTAGGGCCTGGAAGAGATACAAGAATCAGCAAGCATCTGCATGCTTCTGCGAACATCTGGAAAGCAGGAGGCAAGCGTACACATTGAATTGTGCAGCTTTCTAAGGAATGGAAGCAATCTGGTTTATCATTCATTGTTCCTTAAGACAGCAGTGACTTAGAGGAACTACTCACACACAAAATAAAGTAACTGTGCATTAACCATTATTATAACCATAACCATATATCAGGAATCATGGCCACAAGCCAGGACCCACCACCACAGGGACTGTGCAGAGACAGCTGAATAATGTCCACTTCCAAAAGGAGACTGAAATAGCAGTACAGTAACAAAAAGTCACTTGATTACTGATGGGTGGGAGGGTGAAGGGAGGGACTGTATCATACTTTATTGCTGAGAGCCCCGAGAGGAGTGAATAACGCAGTTTGCTTATCCTTCCTTTGAAAAGGATTTTAATCAGCATGAAATATTAACACAAATCCAGAGTTTGGAGTGTGAAATGTCCCTTTCTTCAAGCAGTAAAACCCCTGTAAGCAAAAGTCTTTACTTTCTTTTGAGTGACAGGTTTAATAACATAACATTAAAATATCTAAGACTCCCCAGGACCACTACATTTGAGAACAAATCACTAAAGAAGCTAAAGACTTGGGAACTATGTTTGAATGTTGGGGCTTAGCCAAAACAATAGCCTTTTTGAATAAGGAGCAAAATATATGGATGCATTTGAGAACAGGACCAAAAGGCAATGAAAACTAAAACACAACAAAAGCCCACACAATACACAGTGGCAGAGCATTGTAGGGCTTTTACAGGTGCCATCTAGTGGAAAAACAATAAGGAATAAATGGTTAGTGATGATATCTTTGTTTCCTTACTGATTTCCTAGTTTAGCCTAAATTTTCACACCAGGCAGGATTAGGCTATTTCCAAGGCCAGGAGACACACAGGGTCGATATTGCTGATCCCGAATTGCCTGACAAACTTTGAAGTAAAGTCAGAGAGCATTTGCTAAGTAATTACTCTATCTTGAAGGTTAAAATATCATACACTTTGAAGGGCGAACTATGGGTAAACGGAGTACATTTCAGAGAACTATAGAGCATTATGAAAATGAACTTGAGATATGGAGAAAAGTTTAAAGAACTAGAAACACTACAAAGTTTATTAATAAGAAACAAAATTATACCCATTCGTTTACTGACCAGTAATATTTAATTGTACAAATAACTCATGTCTATAAATAATAACTTACAGCAAACCTTGAATAAAGGGCATATGGAACCAATAAAGGAAAAAACCCAAAGATCTTCTCTTCATCTGGCACAAACTTTTTAAGGAGCGCTATGCTCACACAGCTACTTCACCAAGGACATTACCACACCTGAATCTAACCAGTGCTGTCTTGCTTCTGTGTCTGACAGTGACAACCACCCTGAGGTCCAACTCCTTGGGACTCAACACACAGTCTCAGGGAACAAGTCAGCCTCTTCCCTTAAAACCTCTATTGGTCTGTTGATACTCTATAAAAAATGCAAGCAAAAATTGGGCTGATTCTCACGCTAATCGTACTGCTGGCCTCCTTCAGCCATCAGAGATGCCGCTAACTTTCACATTTATTTATGCCAGCTAAAGGCTTGGCTGTATAACTAACTCCTGTTTATTTTCTATCCAAGATACTGGAATTTAGTTTTATATACTGAAACACTACCCAACTCACTATTCTGGCTAATGCAAGATATCTGAGAGATATTAAACCATCTTCATTTAAAAGCATTCTCATTTACTATTAATAGCTAAGGTCTAGATTTTGTCCAGAGTCTGTTATTCTTGCCTAGGGCTCTCTCTGGACCTGCAAATCTCTGCAGCGAGAGCTCTCTCCAAGCTGGCAGGCCCTGTAACATGGAAGAGAATGTGTGTGTCAACTGGAGGCAATACCCTTCCCAGTGTGCAGCTATCACTGCTGAGGATGTAATGCTGGGAACTGAGTCGCACTAGCAGTGGAAGGACAGAGTTCATAGTTCTGCATCAAGAAACAAGGAAAGATCTCCACCCACTCATTTTCACATGAGTCACTTGATTTGGGACTGTATGGAAAAAAAAAAAAAAAAAAAAAAAGAAAAGAAAAAAAGAGGTCTTTCATGCGCCCCACCCCAAGTCCGCAGGCAGGCCCTGTGGACAGGGGAGAGATCACAGCGACCTGGAGTCTGCAATGTAAAGGAAAGGCATTACCAGCCAGTTCAAAGTGTTCACTGTGTCTGCCTGATGCTCCCTTGATCCCACCTCCTTCCCCTCAGGCTCTCCTCAAAGATGATTAGTTTTTATACAAAAACTTGTGCAGAAGGATAAAAGACTTGCTTAATTAAAGGCAAAATCAAGGTCTGGATGTACTGGTGAGTGTTATTAAAAAAAACACCTGAAAACCCCAACCTCCAACCCCCTGAAAGCACCCCACAGTGTAATGGGTTTGAGGTAACGGTGCAGAACAAGGTGTGTTTATTCTCAGTTCAGTCATTTCAACATCTGTTAGTGCCAGTGTACCAGACACAAGAAGTTGTGAGAGGGCAACAGGAGGACAGAGGGCCACCACTGACCCCTGCGCTGGAAGCACAGGTCCTCTTGGGTCACTGTTAATAATACAAATTCTGACCTGCAGACACGAGAAAATGACTCAGTGTAAAGCAGAAATCTTGGATGGGTGCAAGGACATTACCCACTTTAACTCAGCCATTACATTTTAAAGGCTGCACCTAGTCTCTATTATGATGTTAACCTAAGATGTCTCTTTAAAACCCAAAATAATTAAAAACCGTGGTGGGAAACAGTTAATTGACCAAAGCTATTATTTTAAAAAGCAGTAACAAGATTTAGGCTATTTTAAGCTTTGCAAAATGTCATTATTTAAAAATCAAGACTCTTTTTCAAATCACCTCCATTTACTTTTGCCAGAAGATAAAAAAAATCTGTATTATTATGTCAGTAAATCCAAGTAATAATAAAATAATTTGAGTTCTTGCATCCTCATACTCAGTAAACAGTTCTGTCACTAAGTGCCAAGGTCAACATTTCTAAACATTACATACTTCTGTTAACGTATATGCTTCCTCTGCTGTGCATTCAGCTTTTGCTGTAGGATTACTTAGTGCAAATATTATGGGTCGTTCGTTGATAGAGGCCATTGCTCTGATCACATCCTGAGAGAAGAGCCGCCCAGCTCCTGCAACTCCTGAAGTAAATGGAAACACATAAAAATGGAATTAATACTTGTCTGCCTCAGGGCAAATGACAGTGACTGCAGACCAAGTTCGTATCACCCCTGAAGTCTCCCACTCAGAGGAAAGCATTGCAGAATTTTCTAGCAGAAGGAGATGGGAACCAGGCACTGATCTGTTAGTGGCTGCTTAAATTTCCAGTTTTCACTGGAACATCTAATTAATGTGTTCCAAAAAAGCCTAATTTACATGATTCTTTTGTATTGATCTGTGTAAAGAACACTTATCCCTGCTCTGGATATGCAAGTGGGAACTCTTAAGTCCTTCACAGATGATTTATCCTAGCTTGGACATTAACTGTGCAATGCACACTCCCTTGATAGTGGCATTTCTAACCACACCCAAACACATAGGTACATACACATTTGTATGCCAGCTAGAGACTTCAGGGTTTTGGCTAGCCAGCCAAAAAACTTTCCTTTTCCAAATAAATCATGTGCAAAGGAAACCGCAGAGTTGTATCAGGAAATACCTGTAATCCCATCTGAGCTCTGCAGACAGCCACAGTTATAAATCAATACTTAGATATGTCAGTGACCTAACAGGTATTGGTGATGTGTAGTATGAAACAGCTCTTTCAAGCCATGCTGCTGGCAAATTCTGGCCAGAGAAGCTGACTGGGGGAAGGAAGGTTGGAAAAAAAATAATTTACTGAACTTAGGAAACTTCTGTGAAGCAGCAAATGTGGTGTGACTGTAGGCTGCACAAGTGTTTCTCATTGCACCCAAGGACACATAGTGTGTATTATTATACACACAAATGTTTCTCGTCAAATAAGAGGACAGATTGGATGCATCAGCTAGGTCAGCTTGTTCTTCATATTGTCAACAATAATTGGTAAGGAACTTCTAATCAGGAGCTACTGCCCTTGAAGAAAAGAAACATCCTGGAACGTGCAGGCTCGTTAAAAGTTGTTTACTGGGAATCAGTTTAATTAGAGTGTCCTTTGGAGAAACTGTCCTCATTATAATAGTGAAAATCACACCCACTGCTTTGGAGACCCCTGCCCAAATAAAGACCCTCTCCCTTTGAGCTTGCGCAATAATTTAAAAACACTGTGTAACTTTAAATTGACGTTTGAGGGATGGAAATTATAAGTAACTAACCAATGGTCATAATAGTAATTATGTAGTTTGAAGTGTATAAACACGTTGAATTTCCGATGTGTGGTGTGTAGCTTTGTGGAATTACCACCTAGCACCCATTTTGTGCAACTATGGAATAAACTGTTATTCCATTCGGCCCTGTGTGTGAGATTGGCTTTTGCACACTGGGTAGCAAACCCTGTTGAGGGACATGACAGACTGCTCTCTCCCTTGCTGCTGGTGAAGGGAATGTGTCTGGGAAAAAAGTTATATTTTTGTCTTCCTATCTCTTAGTGCCCTTCATTATAGTTTCAGTTCATTGTGGCCATGCAGACCCTGAGAACATGCTCCAAGTTTTCTAAGAAAGGTTCAACACCAGCTGGACAAGGACTAGAGGAAGCAGTTAACAAGGACACAAGATACAGAAGAAGCACCACAGCTGTTGCAATGAAGGATGCACCGAGAGCTAACCTGCAGCTCAGTGTATTTTCAAGCAGAAAAATGACCTCACATTTTCATATTATTTACACCATCAGAAATGCAGATCACTGTCACCAACCTCCTTGGAGCCACATTAGCAAATTAAATGCAGCAAACAATTAAACAATGGAAACATAGAAACAAGAATAACCTTACTTACCAATGATAGCTGAGGGCCGAAGTATGTTCACTGCCTCTACAAATGTCTTTGGTATCTGCTCTGGAGCCTGATGCGTAAATGGCTCTTGATTAGAATCAACCTTTTGTTCTCGACCCTGTAGATAAAGAGTTGATTATTTCTGTGCGGAAGACATGGAAAGCACTGGCCATCTGTACTGTGGTATTTCAAGGCATGGAGCACTCCTACCTGAACCAGTAAACCGTATTTGTCAAACATCCATATTCGCCTACAGGCTTCCTCAGCAGAAACACCGCTTTCCATCATAGCCATAACAATGAGGTTTGCAATTCCCAGGGCAGCCTTGGAGATAAAAGGACTTTAATTTTTAACAGGACACAAAAGAGGTCTGCCATCACAAACACCACCCTGCTTGACAACCCCACAGAAACCATTTTGTACGTCAGCTCTGACACACAAGCAATGTTTGCCTAGATGGGGGGCAGCCTCCTGGGATCAAGAGTGCCATGTCTTCAAGCAAAAGAGAGAGGAAGCTTTTCTGGGTGCTGTGCCCCCATGCCTGTACCAGTTCAGTAGCCACAATACAGCAGCCCAACCACACAAGAAGAACAAGTCAGTGCTGCAGCCTTCCTGTCAAGAAGCTACAGCGTAGTGTTTTGTGCCCAACCGCTTTCTGAACCTCTCCCAGCTCCTGCTGCCTGTGATAAAGGCTTTGCAGACAGAGGGCCAAAAGTAGACGCTGGCAGTGCTTCCCTCCACATCCCTTCTCTTGGCTGCCTGCACATGCTGTTAAGTCTGGCAGGAGAAAGAAGGTAAAGGGAAGTGCAGAGCAGGGCTCAGTGCTCAGGCAACGACACAACACTGGCCAGTTACTGCAACTAGGACCTTCCCCCGCTGGAGAAATTTTCAGCTAATTCAGTTATTTTGTCAGTACCACAGAAGCAATTTTGCTGATACACCAAGAAACTTGGTGCTGGTCCTGACACTGCTGTCCTTGTAAACAACTCATGTCTGCTGCAAACAGCCACTGATTTAACATGCTAAGAAAACCACTGTGTACTTCTCTACAATCTATAAAAATTAACAAGATATTCTTACCCCATTTCTTACTAAATCATAATTTTACGGTAAACTCCCTTTCAACTACACACAAGACCCTAATGCTTTTTTCAGGTCCATGTAAGAAAGTGAAAAACTTGAGTCCTTGCAGACGTTAAACACCTTTCAAATAGTCATCTTTAAGCAGGTAGTCCTTTCTGTTAATGTGTTTCAGCTGGCCTTATATAAAAAGTTCTGCAATGGAATTCAGAGAATGTGTATCTCCACAAGTCCTACAGAATCAGAAAACTCAGTTAAATGTCTTGTTGCCTTAGAGCCCTTAAGAGAACTCACCTCTCCTGCTCCAAGGAACAGCACCATCTGCTCTGCAAGTGGTCTGCCGGTGGCTTTCTGTGCTGCCAGCAGTCCTGCCAAGGCCACTGAAGCTGTCCCTGTAAAAGCAGTACAAATCTAAGGTGATTTGAAAGATCTATGTGGCAGATTATGGGTTTAGGCAAAGTTTCTGCGTATACATTAAGGAACATAAACAAAGAGTATACCTTGAATATCATCATTGAAGGTACAATATTTCTCTCTGTATTTTCTTAAAAAACGAAAAGCATTGTGGTTTCCAAAGTCTTCAAATTGGATAAGTGTGTTCTGGCCATACCTACAGAACAGAGCAAATATTCCTATCACTAGACACATAAATAAATACAATCTTTTTAAAACAAATCCCGCACGTAATCAATTATCTTTGGGAAGGGCATGTCCTCAGGCCTTTCACTGTTTAAAACAGTTCCATCTCCGTCCTGTGTTTATTTAACAGATAACTACAAGCAGCATGTTGCAGGTGACAGAGAAGATCACTACAGAGCCAGAAATACAGCAATGTCTCTTAACTTCTAGTCCTATCCTTATTCTTTAAATGACTATTTCAAGGACAGTGTGTTACAGTGGTTTTTTGCCAGCAGTTTTAGCCATACTTCCGTAGAGAATATTCAGTGTCATACCTGTCTGTAATGGCTTCCATAAATTCATCAATTAGGTCATCATAGACCTGTGAGCGATCCCTTTTTTGGTATAGGCCCATATAAAATGGATCTTTTAAGAGTGTCTGAAAAATAATAAATCAGAGACAGCAGCAGGATGAATCACTTCCTCAATACACACTTTCCAGAGTTCACAGTAACACACTTCACACCAAAGATACTGCATTTATATAGTCACTGTAACTGTCTCCAGTCTATATCAATGTTCAGTAATTTCAGCTGGCACTTGAGGTTGCTGATGGCTGCTTTTAAAATGGAACAAATCAATACTGTGAACAATAAACTGCTTTAATAAATCTGATTCACATTTCCAGCTTCTTAAAGTCAGGTCAACCTGACTGTCTATTTTACAGTGTTCCAGCATTCAGATTACTTCCAGATGCACCATTTCACTGACAATTTAACTGGCGTTTTTCCATCGCTCATATGTGACTGTATAGTGAATTCCAAATCATTTATCCTTACATAAAATATTTGGTCTTATCTTAAATCTAAGAGCTCAAACAAAAATCTTCTTTCATAATGCTAAGTACTCTTACATAAATACTTTTCATAGGGATAACTTCTGGCAGGCAAAGTTCAGTCAAACTCACTGTATTATCAGTTCCAACGTCGATGCACACAGGCAAGCATTTATCTGGATGGATTCCTGCACAGGCTGTATACAAACACAGTTTTCCTACTGGAATTCCCATCCCATACACACCTAGGTCTCCAAGACCCAATATTCTTTCTCCATCAGTGACGACAACAGCCTGAAAATAAAAGCAGGTGAAATTATATATGATCACTGAAATTTATAAAGTTTAGAGTAATGCCAGTTGTGTTTTTTTCCAGGCAAAAATTCAGTATGTTTGCACAGTCAAACAAAGAATAGATTTCAAGGAATATTCTACTTGAAGCAATAATGCTTAATGTTAGAATCTGCTGTGTTCCTTCTTTGTGGAGATCCACTGCCCAAATCCTTGAAAGCTATGTGGGAAGGATCCAAGCTGTCGTGTGGAACTGCAGCTTGTAACTTGGATTTGTGATTTCCACTTGTAAATCCAGACATCAAAAGCTGACCCAACTGGGTCATACAGGATTTAATGGCAAAATCTGGGCCTCTCAACTACCACTTCTATGTCTTAATCTGAGGACAAGATCACCTCTCCTACTGATACATAACACAGCAAAACACAGAGGTGCATCCCCCAACACGTCCCCAAAAGATGGAATAATGAAGTAAAATAAAAAGGTTGGCAAGTCTAATTCTCATTATCACTGTTTACTCAAACCATAAACCTCATATTTAGGATAAAACACTGCTCTTCAAGATATGCATTATCTTTATTAGCTGTATTTTGCCACCATCATCAAATAGCCATAGATGTATTATTTAATATTTACATTTCCATCAAATACTAACAAATCTTAAGAAGCTCAACTGTGATTAAATAACAACTAGAAAAAAAATTATACAGTGGTAGTACCTTAACGTCATTCTCTGGCCAGTTGTTCACAATTGACCTTATATGGCCTCTGTCTGAGATAGAAATAAATAATCCTCTGAAAGAAAAAAACAAAGCAGAAATATTTATAGGTGGCAATTAGAAATTTCACCTTGCTTTGTGAAACTAAGTGTCAAACAGTACAATTTTCTTAAAATTTAAAGCACTGCAATCACTGACATAAATCAAAGGACAGTTTCTAATACACAAGTTTCTTTGGCTACTTTGACACTCTAAAATAACACAGAGAAAATACTTTTCATGATGCTACCTGGATCTTACACTACTACAGATAATTCACCTTTAATACTCCTCTAGGGCAAAACACCTCTGGTGTTAGCATCAGACATGACAGATCTACATCTCCCTGTAAGGATATGAGAAGGGAACATGATGCTGAGCCTGACTTTACCTCAGTGTATCGCCATTCATGACATTACATGAGGTGAGGGGAGGGAAAAGACAGGAAAGAGAAAGACAAGGACCGAGCATACTGTCTTCTCCAAGACTAGGAAAGAAGTCACTGCTGAGTGCTCCTCCATGGGGACACAGGAGGGGAGGCAAAGGAGCAGAAAGGAGCAGAGATGAAGAGAAGCGTGTTTATTTCTTTTTCTTGAGCAGCCCTCTGTTGTAAGGAGGAAAGGGGGCACGAAAGGCTCAGCGGAGATGGTAACAGATAAATTACCAACACTTGGAAAGTGCTGGTTCTCAGAAAGAAAGGGGCACGTCCAGAGTTCCAGTCCATGCTGCTGTTTCTTCTTAGAGGGGGACAGTTTTCAAAGTGGTCTATAATACATATGGAGACACGGAACAGGAAAGGAAGCATGTGAGAACTAGGAGTAGCTCTTTCACATCCCCTGCCCCAGATCAGGAACAAACCCATGAATTTCTTACTGCCCTTATCACAGCAGTCACACTACACAGCCAAGTCCTCACGGCAGTGAAGGACTAGCCCTTCTTCCACACAGCACTAAAGCCCTCAAGCAAGAGGGCTCTAGAAATACTCTTTGAGTTGCCATTAGAGTATCATGGAAATGAGCTGAAACAACTGCCAGTCTGAACTGGTTTCCTCAACACAGAGCTGATATCCTGAATGGTAGTTTTGAAGTCACAGCTGAACCCAAACCAGATCCCAGCTAAGCTGTGTCAGAATAACTGAAAGCTGGCTCCTAGTAGCAGACCTTTAATATGGGGACTATCTGCACCCAGCAGAGTCTGCTGAGCTACCCTCCTCCTTTGCCAACACCTCTCCTCACACACTGCTCACTGGCCTCTGCTCCTGCACCCCAGACATCATGCTGTGCTGCTCTGCAGAGCATCGTGAGAATCTCTCCAGCCCCGGGACCCTTTGCCATCAGTGGGGACATGCTGGTCGTGGCTTCAGTCCTGCCAAGAGCTGGGGTTAGTCCAGGCTTCCTCCACCAAATCTCCTGTACGAGTGTGCCGGCACCCGTGCTTCTGCCCCTGCCCAGGCTGCGTGCAGGGCTGCACAGCAGAATATAGTTAATGGATCTACCTGAAGTGACCTCGCTTGAACGGAGAGTGAGACCCGATGATTTCCAGAAATCCCTTTCAATCTATGCTTTCCTCCCAATGCTCTGTCCTGATACATATCCTCAGACTCACAGTTGTGATTTCGACAGCTGGAGAAAGCCACAGCACTCTCCTCAGAATTAAAGAGCTGTACGGCATCTAGGAAAAGTTAAAATGGGGCTGAAGCCCTGCACTTGTGCTATTTATGTGACACACTACCACCTGTTTTCAAATGTTCTGTTTTCCAATATAAACCGGGTCTTGAGATACTATTTAATGAATGTTTACTGCCCTGAATTGGCAGAAGTCTTGTGTAACTGAATCCAAATGAAAATGAAATAAAACATTTCCAAACCTCAGGCAAGTATACAGAGAAAATGATAATACAAGTAGCGTTATACATCTACTGTTTTTACTTTGGTCTCCTGAAGATGTGTCCGTACTGGGAGCAGGCAAGCCCTACTGTTGGTGTGTATACAATTGGCATTAACCGCTCAATATCATCTTGCAATACACGATAGAATAATTTTTCATTTCTCTCTTGGATTCCCATTATGTAGATATACCTGAAATTAATGAAAAGGAAAAAAAAAAAAACAAACACTTATTGTTTCACATTTATGCTTATTTAAAACACGGTGAAAGATGTCAAAGCAAAAACCAAACTTGCTTCGTATTACTTCATGAAATTCCTGTTTCCACTTGAGTCAGGCTTTGAGCACTAACCGAAAGTTGGAGAAGAGAGAGTAGCAGTACTAAAAAGCTGAAATAAAAATACTGGATATGACATAGTATGCACGCTAACAAGTTAATGTACAAACATGCACTGTGAAAACAGATAACCCATGGAGTGATTATAGAATACGTCTGGGAGTCTCATTACTGTTAAAAAAAAATTATCAGTGAAAGAATTTTTAATCCAAAAAAAGTAAGATTCTGACAGTAATGTTTTGTTAATCCTAACATTAACATAGCTGTAAACCAAATTAACTCCTAATAAAAAGTTTATTTAAGGACTTACCTAGTTGTGTGAATTAAACTTGCATTTTTGCAAATTTACCTACCGATCTCCCATGTATCAACTCATATGCAGTCTTGCTGACCAGACAACATAAAGATAATGAATTAGTGGTTCATCTTAGGCTGCAGCAACCAGGCACTTTGCCAATAAAGATGACATGAGTGTTTCAGATCAGCAAGTGATGGGATTTAAAAGTCATCTTTCAGCTTTCATGAGAACAAAAGAGTTTTGATGTGGTTCAGTAAGCTTCAAACCATTCCAGTGCTCACCTCTCCTTTAGAAGACTGTGTATTTTCACATGGAGATATACACAGGCTTATATGAAAACAGCAACAGAATGCTAAAATTATGCCACTCTAAAAAAAACAAAACAAAATCCTTCACATTTTTTTTACCAAACCAGTGAGTTAAACAAAAAAAAGACTGATATAAAAAAATTACACATTATGAGACTCAAAATTCTAACCCTGTAATTCCTTTCTAGCAGTAACTACTGTATATAATAAACACTGTTTTTCAAACCTAATTATCAAATCCTCAATTTACCTTCATTCTCACCTATTTTTCTAGCATGCACTATCTGACCCCTCCTCTCCCCCGATAGTTCAGTCCTCTAACAACCTGCCACACAACTCTTACACAATACAGAAATACGTCTTACATACTGCAGCTAGGTTTGCTGCTTTGTTACTGGCTAATTTATGCACGTTCTTTTTCATTATCTTATGACTATGGAATGTAAGAAAAAAGCTCCCCAACCTCACTTAGCCACATGATGAATGTATGACCAATGAAAGCAGTTTTCTGTGCAAAAGTGAAAATAACCAACAATTGAAAAACCCAGTGGAGGCACAGAAACCTTGTTTGGTTATTCCCATACAATATTTTACAGCAATTTCCATTTACTTGCATGACAAAATAAGGCCAGAGGAACGCTTACTTTTCCAAGGGGTCAGTCATTTTTGCCAAATTCTTATGGAAGCGTAAGGCTTGGATGTCTTGTGTCTCTATTTTAGGAGGCAGAAGTCCTTGCAACCCAAGCATTTGTCGTTCATGTAATGTAAAGGCCATACCCTGAAAACAAGAGAGGTGAGAAATAGTTAGCAGTTCTTCCTCTAGCATTTCTATTTATAACATATTTCTATTTGGCATTTCTGACTATCCACGGCATCCTTTTCTCATGGCAGGTGCCACAGCTGCCAGGGTTTGGATATATTTGCCTCTGCTGGGGTTCTCCTCATCCTTTCTGGGTACCCCTTTTGACCACAGCTTTTCCACATCTCTAAGTCCTCATGACTGTTGCCAGATTTCATTTTCCTCTGTGAAACCGGAGAACAACTAACAGATCCCACTGCAGACAAAGGTTTAAAAGTAAAGTAACAGCTGCTTCTTGAATTGTTTCATAGGAACATAAGGTTGACCAAGAACATGTGGGTCACTCAGTGTGGGCCCTGCAATCACAAACCGTACCATTTAGTCCACAGAGGTTTATCTGAATTGCTCCATTTGCCACTTTCTCTACATACTTTTGGTAATCCAGTCAGAATCCAAAGTTACGGAACTGCCCTAATGCTTCTGTTGAGATCACAATTCAACTCAAATCTTTAATTTTCACCTAGGGCTAAAACTAACCTATTCGTCTTCAACTGTAGTTGGCTACTACCAAAAAGCCTCATTTGTGACAAATTAAGTTTCAGAAGAGTTAAACTTCAAAAATATTTCACCACTTCCATTCTCCTCTGTTTCAAGGTGGATGAAGAGTTTAATTTATTGTTATTTAAATACTATTTTGAAATATTTAACAGTAACATTCAGTAAAACTGTCTTTTCACTTAGTACACAAAACGTAAGCTACCTGCTAGTGGGGACTGACAGGCATCTTCTCAGGGCAGCAAACTCCTAGGCATAACTCTGCAAAACGTTAACTGATCCGAGCCCAGATTCACAGCCAGCCTGTCTCAAAGTGCTGACCCCATTTCTGATAACTGACCCCACCTTCAGTTTGCTGCTTCCAAAAGAGCAGTGATGAACTTTCCTTATTTCAGGTTATCCAACTGGGTCAGTTCAGTGAATGATTAAATTAATATCTGAGAACGCAGGAGCTGAAAACTCAGAAAGGCTTTCGCAGAAGGCTGTGCAACAATCTGTGAGCAAAAGCAGAACTGGAAAGGGGAAGCTCTGCTAGTTGTAATGTTTTGAGAGAGATGGAAACAAGAAACATCAGTTCTGTTCACAAACAACACTTTCTTTGTTTACCAAAGTGGGTAGATTAAAAAACAAGAGCACATTTTCTCAGATTTCCCCGCGCTGGAAGCAGATTCTTACTGCCAAGTTAAAACAAAAAAAAAAAAAAAAAAAAAAAAGCAAAAAAAAAACCAAAAAAAAACAACAAAAAAAAAGGTTTAAAAACACTGTATAAGGTTTGCTTTACGGCTTGTAATTACACTCCAAATTCCTCCTGAAATCAGAAAAATCACAAGAAATAAAATAATATTTTCCCACACTTGAATGGTTTATAACCAAAACAACTACTCTCAAGGAAAAAAAAAAAAAATCAAACTGTAAGTATTTAACCTTAAACTAGATCAATGCTTTGTATTTCTGACAAGCTTCCATGTATTAGATATGACATTAAATACTGAACTCAATTTATCCTTCTCCTACTATCTGTAAGTCATTCACAAAGCTTTGTTTTCTTTCCTCACATAATTGTCATTCTCAAGTATTCTTCCAATTTGGTCTGTAAATAAATTTCATATGAAGGTTTATTCCTGAACTTTTTACCTTTGCTGCTGGTCATTTGCTGGGTATAACAATCAGTTTAGCCATGTGATAATTTTTTCTGAAAAGTGATTTGAATAGTCCAAAATTTCCACTGAGAACACAACCAGTAAGCAGCACTGGCATGAGAAAAAAACACCAGGAACACACACTGAATGCCATATTTTTTTTCCTATACTGCAAAGGATCTACTGTAGTTTTACTTCTGCATACTGCACAAGAACTATTGAAGGACTCTCTAAGAATGTAAATGCATCTTCCAAAGTTGCATGGAAGTGTGTTGTAACACACATCTCGGCTATTTTCCTTTTTTCCTTAACTACCCCCTAATCTGTTACCATCAGCAGTTTATGCCTTTTAAAACAACCATTTCTCAACACAAATTGTACTTGCTGTGAAAGTGATTTAGGATACAAAGCTGAGTACAGCTGGTAAACATCTGTAATATTTTGACTGTTACTTTAGGCACTGCAAAAACAAAAAATATGCCAAAAGATTTATGATACTGAGAAGAAGAAACAAAAAAAGCTTAGTCTCTTTTCAGAATATATACACTGGTCAGTAAAGCCACTCATATCACTAGTTTATGGCATGTCTAAGGTCAGAATCCTTTCAGTGGTACCATACCGGCTACACTGACATTTTACTCTAAGCTAGCTGAAATATCGCACTATCAAAACCTATGTCCTCCCCATCAGCACCTCTCAAGTCCCTTAAAAATAAAGTATACCTAATTTCTAATTTCCACTATTAGCATGGCACTGGAACATGGCTTTTCATTCATTTCCCTGTACAGTGAAACCAGTGACCTTAAACTACCTGGGTCCTTAGTAATATCAAATGAGCCCTGAAGTTAGTACTAAGCAGAACAGCTACCAATCTTTATTCAGTTTATTCACATTTTTTCCAATCTATAGGCAACCTGGTTTTCCAGTGTATCTGGAGTTACAATAACATTAAACACAGTGAATTATCTAAGTGGTACTAAGTACTTCCACCTGTTTATTTACATGAAAATTAGATCTTACCCCGTTAAAAGTCACTTTAATTTTTGCCCAGGTCTAACTCAGGAACATGAATGCCATCAGCCTCCAAACAGAAATTTAATCCTTGTTCCAGCTAAACAGAACAGGTTTAGTCCGGAGCAGCGCTGTAAAAAACCCAGAGCCCTTCCAACACTTGCTGTATTCCCATTCATTATCTTTGTCCATGAGCGTCAGCTGCCTCTTGTTTTGGATTTGGGACTGTGGCTTGTTCCCCACAGAGCACCTCACGGGACAGAGGTTTTCCTTAAACTAGTGTGCCTAGGAGCTGCAGTATTACAAATTTCCTAGCCTATTCTCTCCCTTCATAAACTCCAGCACAGTTTGACAGAACCAGCGATCAGGTCCTGGTGAATCAAGAGGCACTCAGCAATTCACAGCAGTGCAACTCATGGTCTCAAAGGGATTTAAGATTCCGGCACCAATTTAAGGGCCAAATTCCCTCTGATTTCCACTGGAATTAAATGCCTAAATACTGTAATGCTTTGGGTTTAAGTCACATGGATCACTTTTTGGTTTCCTTTGACCCACAGTGCTAGGTGTCCTTTCTCTGAGTGTTGTGCACTTTCACTTAGATAGTTTCCTTAATCCTCCTTACAGATCAGAAAAAGCAGGTGTCCTTTCTAAGGTAGTACAGACAAAGCAGGGAGCACATGTAGGAGAAAATCCAGCACACTGCAAAGACCACAAATGAATTAATACACATGGACAAATTTATTGCAACAAAACCAACATAATGCCATGGGGGGGGGGGGGGGGGGGGGGGCGGGGAGGAGGAAGGCAAGTGAAATGAAATGTTAACCGTTTTTTAGTCAAGACAAGGTCACACTGAATCACCACATACTGTGCTTTTAATCCACAAACTATCAGGGACTGGGACCTCACTTTGGCCCTAACAACTGAGCTCTACTACACAAAGTGCATGGTGCTATAAATACCAGCATATAAAAATCCTAGTTGCCTACTTTGCATGAAGGTGAACAGGAGACCTGAATCCTGCAAGCATGATTTTTATAGCACAGCTAAGTAATACTGAGAGGTTTCTAAGCAGAGAAGTACTAGCAGTGGTAACTTTTTCCCCACATGCAAAGTCTTGCAGACGTATATATGTATCAGAGGGGATACTTTTACCTGATACCATAAATACTCTCAAGCATTCTGAAAACCTGTATAGTTTACAACAAATAACCCATTCAAAGTCCCTGATAAAGATGTAAATGCAGAATATATCCAAACATGCCACTGTTTGGAAAATGAGTTAGCCTACTTAACAGATTGAATCAAATGGATTTCATGTAACTTCTAATCATTGTTATAACATATTCAGCAGTATACAGTAGGCTTTGAAGTAGCATCATAAACATTTTTTAAATAAAATAGATTTTACATTGGATTGTAGGCTGCTTCTTAACTATGCCTACCTTTGATAAATCACAAAGTTCACTATTGCACAACATGTCTCCACTGCAAATTAAAAAAGTTCACTCATATGAATCAAAGGTATATCTGCTATCTCAACCAAAGATTCAAAGTTTCTCTGTGTTATGAGAACAGTGTAGAATATGGAAATCTCCTTTTATTTCTTTCCTCCTTCATTTTTAAAACCCAGTTTTGTATCTTTATTCTTCCAGAAACAGCATAGTATATATACTGGAAGGTGTGGCTGAGAGCACAGTAATCTACTCCCTGCTGAACTGTGAAATGACCCAGACCATCCCCAGATTATTCAGCCTTTAAAGACCTTAGTCTCTCTGCAGGCAAAAATGCCACCAGTTCTTACACCACCTCTGTTATGTGTGAAACCAGATGTAAATCACTTTGTCTGCTGAACCAGATTTAGCTAATCCACAGTAGCTCTCATGTACTAATGATGCAGCTTCAACTAAAAGCACTTCCCTGCAGAAGACGGGAAGAAGTCAGAAACAGAAAGCCTATCTAGGGTTGTTTTCAAGCACCAACAGTTATGGTAAAGCTGGACACTGCAAATCATGAGTGTGAAATGGTTCACCTACACCATATAGCATCACTGGATGCCTCAGAGACATTTTATTAAACTGCTGTTTTTCTAACTGAGCAGATGACATTACTTTTGTTCCCCTTTAATGGCATTAGTCCTGCAGTAAAAAAACAGAAACCAGAACATTTCAAAAACAAGACAGCTTCCTTCCTTTCTCCACCCACCATCCCAGCAGCTCACGAGTCCTGATCAGAATAGCTGATCTAAGTTAAATGAGGTACAATACTACACCACCTTTGGCAGTTACAGCACCTTTTCAGAGAGATGATAAAAGCTGGTTACAGATTAAACAGTTCCACCTTTCCACATTTAATTCCCTTTAAAAGCTTACAGATCTCAAGGAAGCTGATAAAAGCTGCAGAAGCTGCAGATGCACAGCCATCCAACAATCCCTCTATCTCCAAACCAGTTGGGCAGAACACTAAACTTGTGGCAGGACTCTTGGGCTGGGTGTGTATGTGTTTGTGTGTGCATGCGCAAGGAAACCGACAGTTTCTGTTTCCTGTCTTCTAGGATCTTTCTTCACGACTGATCACAAACTGCTGGTAGTATTTCAAGCACTGCATTTCTTAGTGACATGACAACTACCATTTGCAGTACATCTCCACATCCTGTTTATCCTCGTTTCCCCAGGAAGGCAGATGGGCATTGCTTATTCTACACCCCGGCTGCTCAACCCAACTGACACAGTCTAAAAAATATTAAAACAAAATCAGATGTGTCAAAACCCAGCATGGTGAGAAAGGGCAAGGAAAGGGGAAAGCAAGCATCTGCTTTTAATACTGAAGTTCATACAATCTTTTTTCACATTCTCTTGTCCTATCCTATTTATTTTGTTCAACTAGCTCTAACTTTGGATTGGGATTTCTTTCTTTGTTTTTTATTCTGAATTGGAAACACACTGTTTGGATATTTGCCTGAAGTCAGTCAGGTCACGTACATCTTTGTTAAGAAAACTGATTCTTTAAAACAAAGGTAATCTGTCAGAGTATCTGGAAGTATTCAGTAAGGCATAGATGAAAATAAATTGGGCTGAAAAAGATGGTAATGAATATGGATGAAACTGACTAGTGGTCTAGCTAAAAACAACATGAGAAGATGACCACCCATATGGAAGGCAGACACTGGGACAGTTCCTCAGGAACTGGTCTGGGATCAAACTGCCACATGCGACACCATCAGTGAATTCTTTTTAAAAATTTCTCATATATTCCCACACACACATGCCCAGGCATATACATACATACGAACATGTCTGCATGCATGTGTGTGTTAAATGCAAAGTCTTGAAGATTTTTGCTGAAGCTAAACATTTGAGAGGCATTGTCAGTAGAGGAGAATGATATTAAAGAATGAAATAACCAAACTATATTGAGGAACAGAGTAATAGAAAAAGGATTAATGGAACCAACTGTACAAAATACACTTAGAGAGTAACAAGAATTGATGCCACAAAGTAGAAAAATCACCAACTAAAATGCTGAAAGCGTCACAAATTATTTAGAGTCACAAATTTGCTGCAAGCACACAAAAAACAAACATATGAATAATGTTACAGGTCACATATTTCCAGTAGAGATGTGAAGATGAAGACATACTGATGCTATTCTACATGGCAGAACGGACATTGCCAAGGTCAGGGATCATCTACTCCTGCATCATCTGTTCTGTGCTGGAAGAATAAATCCCGGCCCTTGAGTGAGAATCCGAAGCATTACCACAATATAAATAACAATTTAATTGCCAGTACTAAACAAATTAGATTGTACTAACAGTGTTCTAAGTACCCAACAAGCTTAAAATGCTGCTTTTGCACAACAGGGATCTCCAGCACTATAAAAGATCCTGAAGCCAATTAACTGTAATCTGAATCCCTGTCAGAGCAGAAATCAAACATCATGGAAGATCGTAAATATACATGGATGCCAGCAATGCAGTTACAGTATGTTCTGCAATTGTTTGGCCGCAACAGCAAGGGCATTACTGATATAGCTCATGACCTTTTCTAAGCCACACTTCAAAGCTGGCCTTCAAACAAACAAACCTAAACTGGTTGATGTAGGTGTAGTATGCACCTGCAAAAGACAGGTAAGGATGGGAAAGAAAAGGAAAAAACAAATGGTAGGAGAAAAACCTACTCTAATTGCAGAGAACAAGAGCAGATTAATCGGCACAAGAGGAAGGGGTGGTTTTCTGTTAGTGATGTTGCCACCTTGAAGTTCTTATTTTAAGGCCCATGTATATTAAAGGAGACCAAATGTTCTGTAGTGTTGACAGGGACTGTAAAAATGAAACATAAGCAGCTAGAACACAAGTGATAAAACGACGATCTCAATAAGCTGCCAACAACAGATAGAGCCCTTTATCTGTGCCTGTATGTATACAATATATATCATACATGCACATGAGGCACTGTGGGCAAGAAAAACACAAAGGGTAAAGTACTTTGCATATTTAGTCAATCATTTATTTCTCTGCTGAATTTTCAAAACACATTTGTGTACAGATACTATATCCAATATCAAGCAGTATCACTTAGCTAGCTTACAGACCTATTCATACAGGTGTCAGCCTTAACAACAGACTGATACAACAGAGCCAAACAAATGTGTAAAGTTTTTCTCCTTTCACAAGCATGATTTCCTGGAGATATTAAAAAATACAAAAAATCAACAGCTGTTAATAAGCAGCTCTCTGTTCTTCCCTCTTCCTCAAAAAAAAAAAGAAAAAAACATAAAAAATACTGCCTTGTGCTCAGTCCACCAGAGAATGCCAGGCTTAAAAAAAAAAAAAAAAAAAGATATTACCATTAGAAAAACAATAAGAAATGACCTATTGTTTTTGTGTCTGAATACTGTTGCATAATCAGCACTTGGAAAAGCTTACAGGGCTTGAAATAATTTCCACTGGCATGTCAAAGAGTTTATAGCTCAGAAAAGTTTCAAGATAATATGATCTTGACAAATCACACCCATCTACTCTTTTCTCCTTCCCTGGGACAGCGATCCCAGTTTTACTTTTGCAGTTAGCAAGTCTCTAACTTCTACAGTTCTCTCTCTCTATAGATGCAACCTGCATTCATGCAGTATCAAGGCACCTCGCACTATTCTATACTGTTCAAGAAGCACTATGAGGCATGACCACATGTCTGTATTTTGCCTTTTTTCTTTTCTTTTCAGGACATTCAGGAGTCATGCTTGCCAAAAGACATGCTGCAGCAATTCTTCCTGTAGTTACAGGCAGAACACAAGAAGACACAGCTTGCAGTTCCTAGCTTGAGAGCCTCCTCAGGTATTTTGAGCCCACTGGCCAACTTCTAATTCTGACAAAAAGAGAGGGACAAAGAAAAAGAAAATAAGGAAAAAACAGAAAAAGAAGAAGAAAAAAAAAGTTTTTGCCATGCAAAGAAAAGAACCAGCCTAGCCCTTCTGCTGAAAAGCTCAGGGTTGTGTGTCCAGCTTGCCAGCTGGCCAATTTATAGCAGCACGTGCTTCTTTGTGTGTAGGCAAAGGGGACATGGGAAGGAGCTAAGAATACAGGGGGAGAGAAGGAGTCAGGGCCATGGGCTGAAAAGGGCGGGCAGGAAATTTACATTGAAGGGGAAATATAAGGCATTACAGGAGGGGAAAAAAAATAAAATCATAGAATGAGGAAGAGGAGAAAAGCCAGACATTAAAAACATAGGATAAAACTATGGAAGTCCAGCTTCCATAGCTCTATTGCTCATTGCCTGTCAGAGGCAGCTAGATTTGTCACCTTTCTTGGCCCCCTTAGACATCTTGGATCAGCTGACAAAGACCTCATCTAATTTCTTACTAGTTTTAGTTTGCATATTAATTGTTTCAAAATTCCTGAAGACTACTACTTTTGTAAGGAAAAATAAGAGATTGGGAATGTGGAGGTGGAAAATGGGAAAGAAAAAAAAAAAACAAACCAGTTATGTTCTTAGGCGAAGTTCCTCCCAATGCATGGAATTAACATAATGTCTCTACCTCACAGCTAACTCCATTCAAGGCTTATTTTTAGATGCTCTCTGTCCTACTCTGCACAGGGATGTTTCTTACTGATATGGCTCAGTCCCAATTCAGTCTTGCAGGAAAAAGCCAGGACTAGGGCAGAGAGGATAACTCTATCACTAGTAAGACTGATTTCTTTTGAAAACTTTTGCAAACTATGAAATGAGACTTTATTTGCTAAAGCTCCACTTCAGTTCAGCCAGCCCGAAAACTAAGCCAGTAACTGGGAAGAATCAGCAATTTTTCATTTGGCCAAAGGAAGCAGCAGTACTGATTGTGTGAACCACAGCAAACCAGGGGAAGCACAGGCTGACAGAAGCAGGAGGCGTCGTTGGAAGTCCTTGTAGTGTAGATGTCCACATAGTACACTTGCAGTGATCACTGACTCCTCCATCTTCTGTACCCTTTTTTGGCTGTGGCCCAGTACACCTCCTGGAGGTGGTTTAACCCTGGAACAAGGTCCATTGGACGATTACCGGATGAAGATAAGATACTTGATAATCACACATTACCAACCTTGTTTGTTCGTGGGTTTAACATCAGTGGCTTGCCTTTTTCTTTCGTATGTGCACTGCGACATGCCATCGCACAAGGAGTGGCAGCTACTCGTAGTCGGGAGAACATTTTTTTATATATATACTGCACCTGAAAAAAGGAAAAGTAAATCATTCATTCAGATACAGAGGCAGTGGAACTAATGTTCATATCTGTAGGCCATCTGTTGTAAAAGACAAAAGTACATTCTAGATAACACTCTTTGCTCAAACACTGTGATAATAACCTAAAATTATCTTATGGCAGCCAGAAGGAAGAAAAACAAGGAAGACTTTACAACAACAAGACTGTATGAATGAGTGGAGAGAACATACAGGGATACTAATGTGAGCTAGCATTATGCTGTGGGTTGCAGTCAGCCAGCATTCACTAGGTGTTGTCTTATAACTGCATCATAAACCCAGAGCAGAATTGCCATTAGCAAATATTAACCTTCAGTGGTGACCCACACAACTGGCACTGGTGCAAATACCAGGGAGGACAAAATGACTTGGTATAGTGCTGCAAGAAAATTTAAGCCAAGTTTCTCCAACAACATTCTGACAACGAAATCTTGTGGCCTGGACAACAGAAAGGAAATAAACTATGTCTGCTACAATATTAAAACTAGATTAGAACAAAATGTAGAACTCAAATGGTCAAAGATTCACCAAACTCTGGATTCCATTATTAGATTTTTTTTAATTCCAAACCTTAAAAAAAAAGTTATTTTCAGAGAGAATATATTCTTTTCAATAAAGGATATGTTTCCCTAACAAAATAAAAGATTTGTTAGTAGCACTCAAAAGATTAGTTCTTAATCATGCCAGGTAATAACCACTCTCAAACCCATTTTATTCAATATTAATTGCAAGCTCTTTGGAGCAGAAATTATCATTTATTACATGTTTGTGTAATGCAATACCACCAGGAAATGTGTACTGGACTCATCTCTAGACATCATTTCATCAACACAGAGAGACAACAGCAACCACAGTGAGACCTTACAGAGGACCATGGCCTGTGCGAAGACACATTAAGATGGCAGGCCTGAAAGGACAGATATATGCAGCTCGCATGCGATATTGTGCAGAATCCTGACAGGGGGAGAGGAAAAAAATAGATCCTATTAGCAATGGACCTATACAGTGAGCGGAAGGAGGCAGAGATCCAGGATCAGCGTGGCAGGGAACCCCTCTCCCTCTCCATTACAACCCCTGCAGCCAGTGTTCCGTCATCCCCTGGCCCAGCTGTATGCCCACATTCAAGACACACACAAGGACAGCAAAACAGGCATGAGACATTTTTAAGGAATGAAATGATACATGGTTTTGGATTTTTAATTTCTTCCAGATGGAAGCCAAAATTAGATTAAGGAATAAAACTTCATTATCTTAAATATAGCCTGAATACTTTAGAAGACCTCTCTCTAATCAAATTTAAACATAATCAGCTTTTAAGATGGCAGACTGATCTTACAAGTTACAATCTGAGGATTTGCTTCAAAATCCCTCCAAGCTGTAAAAGAACATGCAAATATTTAATATTTTTCATCATCCGTTACACCTCAGTTTCTTTTCTACCCATTATAAAGCACAGGGGAAAGCAGCACTGACATTCAGTGGGATCCCTTTCTCATCCTTTATTTGTTTGTTTAGGCCTTGCAATTGGAAGAAGTTCCACCCAAAACCCATGTGTTCAGTTGTTTCGTGGTAAAGAACATAAATTTACTGTGTGAAGACAAGACAAATGGAAGCCTTGCCAGCACTACAAACAAATGTTGCTTTTAACATGGTAATTCCTCCCTAAACCAGCTAGCGGTGGACTAAACACAGCTGGTCTGCCAGAACTCAGGGCAGCTGAAAATCAGGAATAGATAAGCAAAATTAAATTTGTGCTGCAAAACAACCAGCCTTTAGGAATGGTAAATTCAGCCTTAACTGGCTTTAATTCTGATTGCTCATTTTCCGTCCATCTCCTCATGCAGGTGAGGCTAAAAATGATCTGTGGTTACAGTGTCACAGCAAACCCGGGCCTGCATCCCCTCAGTCTGGTGTTAGGGTGGCTTCAATCTGTCATGAGCCAATACCTTAAACACGGAATTAAAAAGTAGGCCAAACACCATACCTTATCGTATTCTAATTAAATTCAATTACTCTGTTGCGATTAATGAGTATTTAAGAATCAAAGAAGATTACGGCCCAGATTTTTCCTAACTTGATCAATTACTTCTCTAATCAACTAGAGACAGAGACTTTTCAGGGGTATGATTCGAATCTTACAAATCTTACTTTATTCTCTCCTCTCAGGTGCCATACAGGCACCTAAAATGATTGTCTTGGTGGAGGTACTGCAGATGCATACAGCATATGGGAAGAATCAGGCTTCATCTTTCACTCAGTCCCTCTGTTTAGATCCAAGAGATACGATCCCAGTTAATTTATATCCAGCGTAAAACCTGACTGGTTACTTAGTCCTGAGCTCTCCTTCCCCTGCTCTTCTAATTGCTTCCTATTCCTGTTTCATCTCCCATCTTGCCCATCTTTAACTCCTTTTGTCCCAGACTTTTAAATGCTTTTTAGCAAGAATCTGCCTCCAGAACTCAACATAACTTACCCTGAAGCCACAAAGCAAGCATCCATCCCCATCCCCTGTCCATACTCATCTGTCGGAGGGCCAAGGTCTCTGTGCTTCGCCCACGTGGCTGTGGCCCCTCACGACTCACCTACCCTCTCCTCCAGCTCTGCTGGCCACCAACCTGGCAAGAACACGCCACCCATCTGCCCAGGTCCTTCTGCTTTAAAAGTCCTAATTATTCCTCAAGAATATATGCACAGGACAATCCAGTAACCCTTAGGATTAAAAATCAAGGCTACATCTATACATGCCGTTAGTAGTTTTAATACTTTTTAAAACAGAGCTCCCAGGCTGACTCTGTTCACTGCGAGCTGAGCCAGACGCAGCACTGGGGTAGCCATAAAACCAGCTCACACCAGGAATTTGGGATTACAGTTAACAGTTTCTCAGATGAAAGATACTACCAGACATTAAAAATACTTCAGCTGCAGCATGGTCCAACTGACAGCAAAATAAGCTACCCTGGGCAGCACTACTTCTCTTCTGGTGTCATGGGAAAGGAAGAAAGGACACGAAGCCCCATGACTGGTGGCTCGTATTTGCCAGCCCTGTTTCTGGGATGCACTTGGGGCAGGCAGCAAGCTGCAAGGACAGATCTGGAAGAGAGGTCCCCAAACCAATACCTGGTTTCAAGGAGATGAAAGGGTTGGGTCGTGCTGCTTTTTGGAAAGGTTTTTATATGGTTTATGGTGGGTTTTGTAGAAGAGGGGCCAGGCTTGAGATAGTGGTACTTAAACCATAAGAAAAAGGAGATATGATTTTGACAGCAGAAGCTGATAGAGAAGAGAGAAGGCTGTCAACTGAGGGAAAGATGGGGGGCTGCAATGATGTGAAAACATGCACAGAGTGCTGAGGTTGTGCAATGTCTCGTGAGGAGAAATTTGGAAGAAGGCAAAGGAATTGAAAGAGGAATAAAATTCCTGCTAAAACATGTGTCAGCATAACCAGAACAAGGATTTATTTTCTTCTTTCAGTACTTGACAATGGTAAGGACTAAGCAAAACTGCAGTGCACCATTAGACTTAATCCAATACAACTGGTAATTTTTGACTTATTTCCACATACATGCTGTGTCACAATTTAAGAGAATTAAATTCTTCAGCATAGCAGATGACAGCTCTCTTCTGTGCCTTATCAGGAGGCATCTGGCCAGGTCAAACTAATTACAAATACTGCACAAGTGCCCTTATCTAGGAGCGAATGTTTTGCTGCTGCAATTATGGATTTGTTAAATTGCAAAAGCTACTTTTAAGGGAAAGGTTCATCATACTTTTGAAAGGTACAATTACATTGCTCAGAGAGTCAGGAAACCCAGTGTCAATTAAAGCAAGGTCTGCTTCAATTACTGCACAGGCTGCCTGACTTGTGGATTATACCTGGATACTAAGGAGTATTTCTCAGTGGACAGCAACTTGCACTTGATGACTGCAGTCTTCCTTCAGTTTGAAGGATGGCTAAACATATTTCAAGTACTCCCGAAATCTTGTGTAAATAAACAGTTCCAGCCTTTCTTTCATGTACATAAACCACCAAGACCTGTGTGTTAACAGGAGCTGATCCTTCGTAACATAACCTGGAATTATTAATACAAGACCATACAGGCCTCACAGATTTCCCATCTTTCTGATCTCAATCAGCTTTGGTTTTTTTAAGCACCACTGCTTTAACACCAACAAGTATTGCCTCCTATGTGCCCTAAGCAATCTATCCAGTGAGTCTGCACTACCCTGAGTCTTCTGTGAATGCGCCATTGCACTTTACTTATTTTTTTTTAATAAACAGGCAAGCCTTGCCGACCCAAGCATGACACAAACCAGGCACACTCTAGCTGGCTTCATCACTTCAGTAATGACAAAGCAGTCTAAATTATTACACTAGGCAAGTACCAACTATAAGTGTGTCTCCCAGTGAGACTTTCACTTAAAGAAAGAAGCTTCCCCTGTACCCACAACCCTGCAGCACTGCAGTGGGTGCTCTGAGGATCGAGGGGGGAAAGGGGCACTTCCATTTCACAACGGGAGTACCCCAGTGCGTACATGTGCAGAGGAAGGAGCAGAGAGATGAGTCTGGGCAACAGTTCTGCACAGCAACTCAGCACCTCCAGCTCCCTGAGCTGACTAGATGCTCTTGGGGGAAGTTCACAGAAAATGGTGGTGATGGTATCTCAGGTTCCTTCCAGCAAAGTCCCGAGCCATCATTTTAAATGACATTTCTAAGGTACCTTGAGATCTGCAAATTAAAACGAACAATCATAGGAGGGGGTGTTACAAATAAAATGTTAGGCAGTGGTGAGTGAGTCATTTTGGAAGCAGATCTTGAAACTACCTTTCTTCCCTGTTATTCTGAGGCAACCAACTCAATAAGGAGAAAAGTTAGATGTACTTAAGTTCACAACTTGAGGCTCGAAACATTCAGCAAATAAAGCACACTTAGGCGAATTCAAATGAGAATATTTTCAGAAGACCTTTGTAAAAACACCTTTGTGTTCTCTACACTAACTTACAATATTGGCAAACTTCTCGCAGCACAACTAGGAAGTAGGACTAAATTGTTTGGTATTGGAGTTTTGGTTCATAAAAGCTCTTACCACAGAACATCAGAGAGCTGTTTTTTTATACATTAATGCATCTGACCTAAATATTTTTCTTAAGTATCAGAAAGTCCATTACCTTATACTGTGGAAACTGCAACACGGTATTTTTCACCTACTCAGATAAGAAGATATATTCATATTCTTTATTTTACTTCATTTATCTAACTGGGAGGGCTACCAGTAGTAAAGGTATGCACATTTGCACGTGTGGGACAAAGGCCTTACCCTGCAGAATCCTCAAAAAGACTGCAAAAATAAACAGAAAATCACTGTTATTTTATTCTGGGGAACTGGTACATGTCTGTATTAGAGTCGTTTTCTTCAGTTTAAAAATATGGATTTTTCTGGATATAAGTTGAGAGAGAAACATGCATGTTCGCAGCAACTGATGCATACTTACAAAAGGGAACTCCCTGGGAGAAACAAGCACAGAGAAACTGAGCTGCTTGCTAATTCATTCAGTGCCGATCAGGTGAATTATCAGCCTGCCAATCACTTATAAACCTTGGTGTGCACTACAGTTACAATTAGTTACCAGCCCAAGTAACAGCCAAGTGCTCCTTCTGTTGCAATAAAGGTGCTGCCACCAGTAGTAAAAATGAACATTCAATTAGTACTCACTCAAGCACAGCACACTACAGTGCATTTTGACAGCTTCTTTCTTAGTTTGCAGAAGAAAAAACTTCAAATCTTGCCTGCACTCATGCTGCTGACTCATAATGCTACCTCGCAGGATTATCAGCAGTTTTGTCCCGGGACTGTAGCACACGCTTTCCCTTAAAATACACACTCAGCCTAAATTTCTACAGACTGTACCATGTCTAACAGAGCCAACATCATGTTAAACGCTGCTGGCTACATGCACACACATGGATTGTTCGCAGAGTTTCATATTCTGCCTAGCTCCTTCTATTACCCATGTGTATAAACACATATAGAAAATTTCCCTTTGCTGACCACTATTGATGTTTTGGAATTAAGAGCACTTTGCTGATCACTATTAATGTCTTGGAATTAAGATACCAAATAATTAATAGCTTGCTTGGATGCAAGATCGTCTTTTTTAATCAGTCCTTTATCAACACGCTGTAAGTTTTCGGGTTTCTGTTAGTTAGGAGATCCGTGCCATGACAAATGCACCGGGCTGCTCAGAGACCAGCACTTATCTAGTACCATTTAACGTTACGAGGAAGTCAAGAGGAACGTGAGACCTGAGATGGTGGCATTTCAAACAGCCACCGCCACTTCTTTCAACAAACTGCCAAGAGGCAAAACCCAAGGACTGCAGAGTCTGGCTCTAAAAATACCAGGCAGCCCGACAGCATTTCCTCTCCCAGCACCGCACCAGCAGCTCTGCGACTTCCCAACTTTTACTCTCTAGCTTTTAGGGCCGCGCCGTAAAAGTTCACCGCGCGTTGAAAGTCAGTGCCGAGACCGCCAGCCAACGCCGAGGAGATGCAGAAGCAGCCGAGTCCCGAATTGGGCCGGTTTGGGGGGAGCATCCTCCCAGGCTTGACCCGAGGAGCTGCTGCCAAGGAGGGGCATTGTTCTCAGAGGGTGGAGAATGGATTTGTCACCCGTTTTGACAGCCGGTAAACACGCACGGCTTAGGGCAGTGCATGTGCTCCTTCCTCTGAGGAAAAACAGCCGCCTTTCGGTGTTTGCCACCTGCCAGCCGGGCTGGCCGGGCCCCGGGAGGGCTCCCCGCAGCAGGCCGAGCTTCGGGGCCCTCCCAGCGCACGGGGGACAGGGGTTGGGCGGGCGACCTGCTGCATTGCTACGACTTCAGTCGTCCCCAGGGGACCGGACCGAGGAACAGGGAGCTCCCTCCATCCCCCTTCAACCCCGCTGCCGGGCGGGCCTCGTACCCTGCGACGGCGGGACGGGGCTGGCCCCACGCCCGGGCCCTCCCGGCCGCGGTCCTGCCCGCCGCACCCCCGCGGCTCGGCGGCATAACCCGGCCGGGGCACGAAGCGAAAGCCCTCTCCTCACCCTGGCAACACGCAGGCGGCAGGGCCGGGGGGAAAGGTTTCCAAGGGGTGTGGCGGGGGGTAGGCGTTCGAGGAGGAAAGGCAGCAAGGGTCGAGGTTCTGGAGAATATGCCCCCAAGATACGGGTTTGGAAAGAGACAAGAGGTCTTTCGTACGCCATTGCAATTGTAAAATTGTTACCAGAACGGGATCTACCTCCTCCTGCGGCTGCTGCTCTCTGAGTGATGCTGGCCGAGGACCTGTTTCTATTGTGCAACAGCAGCTCCCATCCGCCAGAGCTCCGACCGCCTCGGAACCCGCCACTGACTGGAGCGAACAAGGAGGCAACAGGGAGGGACACTCCGGAGGGCGGGGCGTTTCCCATGACTGACGGCCAACGTAGCCAATAAGAGGGAGAGCGGCTGGCCGGCCGGCGGCGGCGCTCGGCCAATGAGCCTTCTCTCCCGTGTGGCCCCGCCCCGACAGAGGGGAAGCGGGGCCAGGCGCGGCCGTGTGTATGTTAATTAGGCCAGGGACGGTGACCAATCAGCGAGGCCCGGCTCCGAGAGCGGCGTGCCGGTAAGGGGGCGGGGCGAGGGGGTTGTGTGAGGGGACGGGAATCGGGGTCATGAAGGGAGCGGGTCGGGAGGGGACGGGGCCGTGAGGGGACGGGGCGGTGAGGGGACGGGGCGGTGAGGGGACGGGGCTCTGAGGGGACGGGGCGGTGAGGGGACGGGGCGGTGAGGGGACGGGACGGGGCCCTGAGGGGACGGGGCGGTGAGGGGACGGGGCTCTGAGGGGACGGGGCCGTGAGGGGACGGGGCTCTGAGGGGACGGGGCGGTGAGGGGACGGGGCGGTGAGGGGACGGGGCCGTGAGGGGACGGGGCTCTGAGGGGACGGGGCCGTGAGGGGACGGGGCTCTGAGGGGACGGGGCGGTGAGGGGACGGGGCGGTGAGGGGACGGGGCGGTGAGGGGACGGGGCCGTGAGGGGACGGGGCCGTGAGGGGACGGGGCGGTGAGGGGACGGGGCGGTGAGGGGACGGGGCCATGAGGCTGTCTCTGTAGCACCCAGGATAGCGGGGGACCACGGCTCCTGAGGGGTGGCACGCTGAGGAGGAGGGCGAGGCAGGAAAGGCGAAGCAGGAGGAAGGCAGCAGAGAGCAGGTCTCTTGGCGGGGAATGGGGTCCCCCCTGGGTATAGTTACCTGAAGCAAGATGGACACTGCTTCCCAGCGCCAGGGCCACAGTGCTGGATGCCTTACACCGCTTAGGGCTCCTCAAAACATGCAGAGCGACAGCACTGGGGCGCTACCCTGTCTTGTGTGTTGCCGTACAGAGGATTAAAACAAGATTTGGCAAAAGGTGGCAAGGCACTTAATGCTGCAGGTCAGCACTGAAATTGCCAGGCCCAGAAAAGAACTGCAGTCTGAAAAAGCATCACTTTTGATAATATCATCGGGCTGTTTGTTCTAACACTGGTGTCTCTTAATGGGAATGATACTCCTCCCCAGCTAAGCTTTCACAGTGTTTGGAGAGAGGGAAGGAACGGTGGTATGAAATGTCACCACTCAGCTCATCTGAGACTTTGTCTGTCTCCTCTCCAGCCCAAACTCTGACACGTTTTCCAGTGTCACAAACTGTGCGGCTGTTAATTCTCTTCTGGCACGTAATGTGATTTAAATGTTAGATGTACAAATGAGCACTGTGCAGTTAAAAGCAGCAGAGTTGCTATAGTAACTGTTACAATAAATATATAAACCCACTTAATCAAAACCTTCTCTTCTAATCGTGATTGTGAGGCCTGCCATGAAATGCATATTCTGCTGCTTTCCCCCTGTCAGCATGACTGTGACGGCTCTGAAACATTTCTGCATAATGCGGTGCTGCACCTATAAACAAAGGAGATGATTGCTAAAATAACATGCAAGGTCATGACTTTGTGCCTGGCTAAAAATAGCCCAAATTGAAGGCATTTAAAAATGCCGGACTTCATACCCGACGAGCAGAGATCAGTACTACTGTAAGCCCGTGCCTTTGTAGACTGGTTGAGGATCTTGCCCAACGTATCTCATGAAGAGTTAATGCCTTGCTGAAGTATAGTGCGTAACACTTCCTTGTGAAAGACAGGCTCTCTCGAAAGCTGTGTTGTAATTCGTCCCACAAGAGAAAAACCTGCACCCCAGGGAACGGGATTTGGCAGGGCTGCATGGCCTGAAACCCCCAGCAAGAATTTTTAATGGGAGGAAGAGCTTTCGCTTCTAGACAGCGCACCCACTACTTTTGCACCAGAGTTTTCTCCCAGCAGCTCTTTGGTACCAGTTAAATTCCTTCTCAAATCCAGACTCCAACCTACCAAACCTCTTTTAAGCTACAGGTCATTGTGGAGAGGAGGGCTGGACCGCGCTCCACGCCTCAACCCAACCCCAGTCGCGCACGGGTGGGCAGCAGCAGCCTGGGGCCATGTGTCATGCTGCAGCTCAGCCAACGACCCGGTCAGGGGGCTTTACGTCTGATCTATAGGGACAGCAATCCCACGCAGCGTGGGACCTTGCCTTCTCAGGCCTGTTCTTCATCCCAGGCTACTGCACAGCCACCGAGCAGCTGTTGTATTTATAGCTAATTCATGCGACCGCCTGCGCCATAGTACAAGAGCAGCAGTCGTTTCTTCTTCCTCCTGAGGACTTTTATCACCATATTTGGTCCTCAACACAGAAGAGTTTCTTTTGGCGCACATGATGTTGTTGCTTCGCTGTTGCCAAGAGAACAACTGGGAGCCCTTGGCATTGCGCAGCTCCGTAAAGCCAACGGCCACGGCTCTGCTGTCTCTCTCGGCTGTACAGGACCAGCCCCAGGCTGTGTCACAGCTCGCTCACTCCCAGGCGCGAATTCATTCAGAAATTTTCAGTGCAACAGGAGACTGATTATAACACCAGATTTCCCATACGTGCAGGCCATTGCATTTTACTGGGGTTCGTCTTCAGAGGAAGCCGGTGGCTTGTGCTGGAGTAAAACACCTCTCCCAAAAGCCATCCGATCGCAGTTTGAAGGCATACATCAAGGCGGCTTTCTTAAATCACTTCCACTCTCCTAAAATCATCCTGTATTTCCCATTTGAGTTTTCCTAGACTTTTGATCGTTTGCTGCTTGTTCTGTCTCTCTTTGCTAAATCACAGAGTCAGATACCTCCTGTTTCATGATGAACCTTACTGATGGGTAACTGCATCTGCCTGATAAATTCAACAGAAGACTTTTGTATCCCATCCTTGTGATAATTTTGTCTCTCCTTTCTGTAACATTTCCAGTTTTTCAAATATCCTATTTAAAGCAACATCACCAGAGCTGGACTCGGTGTTCTTGTTTTCATACCACTGATTCTTAATGTAAATTTAACAAAGAAAAAAAAAAATCACTTCACTGTTCTACTCACCTAAATCCAGGGCTCTTTTCCTTCCCTTCACAGCACTGCCTCAACACCTACACTGTCACTCCCATAAATACACTGATAATGTAGCTATATATACACAGCTACTGAACAAATTATTATTTAAGCAGTCATGTTAGTTTTTATCTACTTCCAAGCTCAGAAATTTTTACAGTACAAACTAGCAGGCAAGCTGTCTCTCTGGAAGAGAATTTCTGTGGCTTGATAAAAACTGGCATCTTCACCTTTATTTCTGTTAAAAAGTGCTGAGGGTTAACTATATCTTTAGACTAATCATCATATACAAAGATGACCCTTGTGACTCTTCTCATTTACATTATGAGCAGGAACTAGGCAGTAAAGATGATCGTTACCTAGAGGCAAGGTTTGTGAAGAAAAATAGTATCTTTTATTAGACCAATTCCACTAAAAGATGTTACTTCTCTCCACAAACCTTACCTCTTTTACATCTTTAGAGCAACAACACTGCTAATTACCTTTACGCTGTTTCCGTTATTTTGATTCTACTTCTGCCTAGTAATTTTGTTCTGTTTTAAAGTATTCTGCTCAAAATTCCTCATGTAGCATTTTTGCAATCAAATGTGTCCAGACTATTCTCTGGCTGTGAGACCAGCTCTCATGAGAACAGCCCACATCCACGCTACTAAAGTGTTTTACTATCCAAACCGATGTTTGCATGTGGACTGTATTTTGGGAATAATGTGCTAATTCCCACAGTTGTTTGGGAAAATGCTAGCTGGCCTGATCCAGAACTATGCCTGGGATTGTGCTAACAATTTAACAGTGCAGATGACAAAGCTCCCGCCTCTGGGGACATTTTGTGGCACTGTTAAATCTGTCTTGATTAGGGATGACGTTGCTTAAACATATATCCATACGTGTCTGTGAATCTTCCCAGTTAGGGAGCTATGGCACGCGTGGATATAACTGTCATTGCAGGTTAACAGGTCTGGCATTTGCTGCTTCTTAATTTATGTTTTATTTTCTTTGCTTTTGATCTGGAGCCTCTTTTTAGGCTAGTGACCCATTTGACCGCAGATCATCAGTTGCCTCTACTCTGCTGAGCGCCTGAACAGCCAGGGACATCGTGACAAAACCTGAGATGGTCTAACTGGGTGGTATTTCATCCTGCTTTTCTGGCTCTTTCTCCACTTCCTTCAGTTTTCAGTTTCCTCAGTCCACGTTCATCACTGCCCCACTCTGCTTTACTTACCCTGGCCAGTGACTTTCTCCTCCCTCTTCATTTTTGCTCCATTAACACAGCCACACAGTAAGGAGAAGAATTGCACAGACTTGCTTGTACTGGAGATAAATTGGTCACCATGGTGGGACCAGAAGCAGGTGCCCTGGGAAGGAAAGGCTGCCCAGCTCCTGCCTTACCACTGGGGCAGAGACCCCAGGTACCACACAGAGTGGCCTTCGCAGGGGGAGGCCACAGCCCTTTTGGTGCCTTCATCCCCTAATAAATCTACTTTTCTGCTGGGAACTGGGGCAAACCCCTTCCTCGTCTCCACTCCTGCTAGTTGTACCAGTTGCAGCAAAACCAGGATCGATACGTGCTGTGGTCACAGCTCGCAGCTCCTGTGCAGACACACAGTGACCTTTTCCTACATCACCCTCAAAACGGGGAGCTTTCTTCCAGAGAGCAGCTACAGCACCCGACCTCTGCCCATCTGAACCACCTTCCTGGACATCACGTTTCTTATATTTCTGCTGAAGTGGCTGAGCTCCTTAGCTGTCTTGATGGGAGGACAGAAGGACGCAGAGGCTGAACTGAGGCTGGCAATTCTGGCTCAGGAGAGAAACCTTGGATCTTTAATGTGCCTCCTTTAACTGCATTTTCATTAATTTACACCGTGAGGCTCCAATGGTTTATCGCTCTGTCTCCCTTCTGTGTGACTAC